TCTTGATTCTGTCCCTCTGTTAATGCAGCCCAGCACTGTGTTGGCTTTTTTGGCAGCTGCAGCATACTACAGTGTCTCTAATAATCCCCAAACTGGGGACAGGACTCCATGTATGCATTTTGCAAATGCCACACTGTAATTGGCTCCCTATCATGGCTGGCTGAGGAATTCTGGGAGTGGAAGTCCCAACTAAAGTCCTATCTTAAGCTCTCATTCTGGCTTGATTTGAGCTGTGCCTTTCGCAAACTCCTCAATGCTGGTTTATGGTGCAAATCACAAGCGAAGAGGAATTGATTGCAAATTTGATAATGGCAGCTAAGATTAGTGGTGGCTAAATATGGGAGATGGAATTGGATTATTCCAAGAAATGAGGGGCATAATGAAATATGGAATATGGCAATAAATGGTAAATTAACAACAGAAATTGAATTTAAAAAAGGGATAGTTAAAAGTAAATAATTGTAATGACATATGGGAGGATTTTATAAAAACAGGGGTGGTGGAAGGCAAAGGGAATAAATCTACTCAGGAATATATGCTGTTTTGGAGGGGATAAGGGCACAATTGAAATATATTGGATATTGTTCATCATCATCATCATCATCATCCACATCTGCCTATCCCAGGTCCTTGGTAAGGACTCAATAGGTAGACAAAAATGCCAAATCCAGTCTGAACATGTGGCTGACTGTGTGATGATCCATAATGATGATGATGTTGGAAGGGACCTTGGAGATCATCTAGTCCAACCCCCTGCTCAGGTAGGAAACCCTATACCATTTCAGACAAATGGCTGTCCAGTCTCTTCTTAAAAGCCTCCAGTGTTGGAGCATTCACAGCTTCTGTAGGCAGGTTGTCAATAATAATAATAATAATAATAATAATAATAATAATAATAAAGTCGGAAGGGACCTTGGAGGTCATCTAGTCCGACCCCCTGCTCAGGCAGGAAACCCTATCCCATTTCAGACAAATGGCTGTCCAGTCTCTTCTTAAAAACCTCCAGTGTTGGAGCATTCCCAGCTTCTGTAGGCAGGTTGTCAATAATAATAATAAAGTTGGAAGGGACCTTGGAGGTCATCTAGTCCGACCCCCTGCTCAGGCAGGAAACCCTATAGTACCATTTCAGACAAATGGCTGTCCAGTCTCTTCTTAAAAACGTCCAGTGTTGGAGCATTCACCCCTTTTAATTAACGACAAGAATAATTGAATATTAATCATAATTCATTATTTGAGCATGTTTATTCAAGTGGTCCTCAACGTATGGGCCCAAAATTTCCGTTGCTAAGCCAGACAGTTGCTAAAGTGAATTTTGCCGTATTTTACCACCTTTTTTTCCACCGTTGTTAAATGAATCGCTGCAGCGGTTCAGTTAGGAACACAGTTGTGAAGTGTATTTGGCTTCCCCATTTTCTTTGGTTGTCAGAAGGTCGCAAAAAAATTGATCACATGGCGCCGGGACACAGGAACCATCATAAATAGGAGTCAGTTGCCAAGCATCTGAATGTTGATCATGTGACCCTGGGGATGCTACAACGGTCGTAAGTGTGAAAAACAATCACAAGCCACCTTTTTCACCGCCGTTGTAACTTCGAACAGTTCCTAAACGAACTTGTCTCACAGATATGTGACTCCAGGTGATGTATAACATGACAGCAGTTAAGAACTCCATAGCCCTCTGAAAACAGTCAAAATAACTAAACAGACTAATGTAAACAGATTGAATAAACAGCCAAACTCAAGAAAGGGGGGGGGGGAGACAAACAGTCACGTAATCTCATCCAGCTACTTTGCAGATTCTCCCTGGAATAAACGAGCCTGGTGAATAGAATAATAGGAATAAGAATAAAAGAATAAGAATAAGAATAAGAATAGAATAGAATAGCATAGCATAGCATAGCATAGAATAGAATAGAATAGAATAGAATAGAATAGAATAGAATAGAATAGAATAGAATAGAACAGAAATAGGAATAGAATAGGAATAAAATAGAATAGAATAGAATAGGAATAGAATAGAAATAGAATAGAATAGAAATAGAAATAGGAACAGAATAGAATAGGAATAGAATAGAATAGAAATAGAAATAGAAATAAATAGATATAGGAACAGAATAGAATAGGAATAGAATAGGAATAAAATAGAATAGGAATAGGAATAGAATAGAAATAGAATAGAAATAGAAATAGGAACAGAATAGAATAGAAATTAGATTAGAATAGAACAGAACAGAACACAACAGAACAGAACAGAATAGACTAGAATAGAATAGAATAGAAATAGGAACAGAATAGGAACAGAATAGAATAGGAATAGGAACAGAACAGAACAGGAATAGAATAGAACAGAATAGAATAGAATAGGAAACGGAAGGGAATGGAACAGAGCAGAATAGAATAGAATAGAAATAGAAATAAAATAACAGAGTTGGAATAGAATAGGAAATGGAATGGAATAGAATAGAATAGAATGGAATGGAATGGAATGGAATGGAATAGAATAGAATAGAATAGAATAGAATAGAATAGAATAGAATAGAATAGAATAGAATAGAATAGAATAGGAATATGGAAGGGACCTTGGAGGTCTTCTAGTCCAGTCCCCTACTCAAGCAGGAGATCCTCTACCATTTCAGACTGCCTAGTCTTTTTTTAAATATTTTTTTTCCCAAAGCTACATTTTAAGGGACTTGCTGAAAATTGACAGAGATGGACCTTAGATGGAACGATGCACAGAAGGTGGGGACTTCCAACAGGAAAGGCAGGTGGCTTGGGTCTCCCCCCCCCCAGACAGAGCTCCTTCGGACACAGGACCCCCCCAGAGTCCTCCTCCTGCCTGACCTGATGGAAGGAATCAATGTAATCAAGGGCAGTCCCTCAAGTAACCGGGTTCCATGCCAGGCAGGGTTTCAAAGCTTTTAAAACCACCATTTTGAATTGCACCCCGAAGTCAATTGGCACCACAATGCAGCTTGCAAAAACTGCGGTGTAATTGTCACTTCCTTGTTAGGCGGGCGGCTGTACTGCTACCAAGGTGGGGAATAAAAGGCGGGTAATCCTCGTCTTGCGACCGTTCGCTTAGCGACCGTTCCACTGCACTGAAAGAAAGTGACCGTTTTAGGACCGTTTTTCACACTTAACGACCGTTGAAGGCTCCCCCTGGTCACGTGATCCAAATCTAAACACTTGGCGATCTGGCTCCTGTTTGTGATGGTGTCCCAGGGTCATTTAATAAGCTTTGGAGGAGCAAAGACAGATTCAAATCACTGGTGTTGTGAGGTGTGTGCGTGTGTGTGTGTGTGTGTATATATATACTAATCTCTCTGTGGATCTCTCTGCTGAGCGTCCCCCCCAACCCCCTCCCTCATTTGCTGCTTGTTTTCTGGCTGCACTGACAAATGTTAGTTCCTCTTATTTGCAACTAATTCTCAGGTGCTGGAAGAAGGGAGGACTGTAAGAATCCCCTGGGGAAGGTTGGCGAAGAAATAATTCTCACGTCTTGGCACGGAGCCCCCCCCAGAGAATTTTGGCCACACCTGCCCATGAAGCATCACTGTTTCTGAGCCTCAGCAACATTACAATGGGTGGACTTCCACTCCCAGAATTCCCCAGCCAGCCTGCTTTAAGAGAAGTGGGCTTCCACTCCCAGAATTCCCCAGTCAGCATGCTTTAAGAGGGGTAGACTTCCACTCCCAGAATCCCCCAGCCAGCCTGCATTAAGAGGGGTGGACTTCCACTCCCAGAATCCCCCAGCCAGCATGCTTTAAGAGGAGTGGGCTTCCACTCCCACAATTCCCTAGCCAGCATGCTTTAAGAGGGGTGGTCTTCCACTCCCAGAATCCCCCAGCCAGCCTGCTTTAAGAGGGGTGGACTTCCACTCCCAGAATCCCCCAGCCAGCCTGCTTTAAGAGGGGTGGACTTTCACTCCCAGAATTCTCCAGCCTGCATGCTTTAAGAGGAGTGGGCTTCCATTCCCACAATTCCCTAGCCAGCATGCTTTAAGAGGGGTGGACTTCCACTCCCAGAATTCCCCAGTCAGCATGCTTTAAGAGGGGTAGACTTCCACTCCCAGAATCCCCCAGCCAGCCTGCATTAAGAGGGGTGGACTTCCACTCCCAGAATCCCCCAGCCAGCATGCTTTAAGAGGGGTAGACTTCCACTCCCAGAATCCCCCAGCCAGCCTGCATTAAGAGGGGTGGACTTCCACTCCCAGAATCCCCCAGCCAGCATGCTTTAAGAGGGTTGGACGTCTCCTTGGCCACTTAACCAGAAGGATGGAAACGGTGCTTGCTGTCATGTCCAAGTATCAAGGGGACAACAGAACAACACAGTTGGAAGGGACCTTGGAAGTCATCTAGTCCAACCTCCAGACAATAGACACTATATAATTCCAGACAAATGGCTGTCCAATCTCTTCTTAAAAGTGATGGAGCACCTACAACTTCTGTTTAGCTGGTTAATCGTTCTCACTGTCAGGACGTTTCTCGTTATTTTGAGTAAGGATCTCAGAACAGAGTTGGAAGGAACCTTGGAGGTCATCTAGTCCAACCCTCTGCTCAGGCAGGAAACCCTACACCATTTCAGACAAATGGCTGTCTAGTCTCTTAAAAACCTCCAGTGTTGGTTCATCCACAAATTCTGGAGGCAGGTTGTTCCACTGGTTAATTGTCCTCACTGTCAGCAAGTTTCTCCTTAGTTCTAGGTTGCTTCTCTCCTTGATTAGTTTCCATCCATTGCTCCTTGTCCTGCCTTCAGGCGCTTTGGAGAATAGCTTGACTGCCTCTTCTTTGGGGCAGCCCCTGAGATACTGGAAGGCTGCTATCCTGTCACCCCTCGTCCTTCTCGTTAAACTAGACATACCCAATTCCAGCAACCGTTCCTTATATGCTTTTAGCCTCCAGTCCCCTGATCCTCTTTGTTGCTCTTCTCTGCACTTTCCAGAGTCTCAACATCTTTTTTATATAGTGGCGATATAAAACACCTCCTTTTTCTCCTGACAGGTGGATGTTGAGCAGGTGGACCCGCGAGGCCGAACACCCTTGCACCTGGCCACCACCTTGGGCCACTTGGAGTGTGCACGGGTTCTCTTGCGGCACGGGGCAGATGTGGCCAAAGAAAATCGGTCTGGCTGGACAGGTGTGTTGCCATTTCTCTCCTTGGCACGTGGGAAGCACAACGGGCATGAGCGCCTTTGATTTAGCAGAACAAGATTTTCCGAGCTGCAGAATTTACACGTAGTCGTTAACTTCAACAACTGGGGCAAGTTATGTCAAACCTCCCTGGGGGAATTATGACCTGGTTCCGAAGTTGCTTTAAAAGGGGTGGGCTTCCACTGCCAGAATCCCCCAGTTAGCCTGCTTTAAGAATCCCCCAGCCAGCATGCTTTAAGAGGGATGGGCTTCCACTCCCAGAATCTCCCAGCTAGCATGCTTTAAGAGGGGAGGACTTCCACTCGCAGAATCCCTCAGCCAGCCTGCTTGAAGAGGGGTGGGCTTCCACTCCCAGAATCCCCCAGCTAGCCTGCTGTAAGATTGGGTCAATCCCCCATAAAGTCTTGAACTTTTTTTTCCAAATGAAGGCCTGCTTTTGTTTTAATTTGATTGCAAGATTTCAAGGCAGAATTTCTTAACTGGCAACCAAAAGATGGGGTGAACTTCCACTCCCAGAATTCCCCAGCCAGAATTCTTTAAGATGGCAGATCTTCATGCTGGCTGGGGAATTCTGGGAGTGGAAGTTGCAGAGGTGAAGAAACACCATCCTTGACCGCCTTGCCTTCCGCCAACGCATCACTGTGCCGAAAAGCGAACTGAAAGTCTTTTTTTTTTTTTAAAGAAAATGAAAATCTTTTCACGCCTGCGTTGAACCGTTTCGATCAAGGACTGTTGATTTCCGGTTCTGCACATTTTCAGCCGACCGTTTCCAAAGTTATTTTCAAAGACGTTTTAATGAATTTTTTAAAAAAAGATTTTCAAAGGAATTTTTTTTTATTAAAAAGTTTTATTAATAATTACATAATAAACCCAATAACCCACCCCCCTACCCCCACCCCCCCATTTCCTGGAACCAAATACAAGGTATATCAAACATATTAAACATAATCTAATTAAGTTAACAAATATATTAATCATAAGCTAAACAAGTTTAACAATTTGTACAACAATTAATATCATACTTAACCCTTAAGTCCCTTTAAACCTTATTTATTAATAATACTTATTTTTTAATCATAAAATAAATGGAACTTTTCAGTTCCATATTTAATCTGAATATAATCTATCCATCTTCTCCATACCATAATATATCTTTCTTGTGCATGATCCTTTAAATAAGCAGAAATTTTAGCCATTTCTGCCAAATTGGAAACCTTAAATGTCCATTCTTCTAATGTAGGCAACGAATCTTTCTTCCAATATTGACCTATCAATAACCTTGCCGCTGTAATTAAATTCAACATTAAAATAGTTTCTTTAACATCAAAATCCTCAAAAATCCCTAATAGAAATAGTTGAGGAGTAAACTTTATCTTCCTTTTAAAAATATTTTGAATGTTCCACCAAATCATAATCCAAAAGGCCTTAATATTTTTACAAGTCCACCAAATATGAAAATAAGTTGCATCAGAACTACCACATCTCCAACATTTTTCAAAGGAATTTTAATAAATTCACACACACACACACACACACACACACACACACACACACACACACACGGATAGGTGGCTGGGAACTTGACTTTGTACATTCAAGGATGTGAAAGTGTGAAAAAGTGGAGGTTGTGACTTTCAAAGAGCCCTCCCCTTTTTTTAACATGCCTTGCACGCAGAACACAATGCAAAAAAGAGACACGGGTTTTCTCCTGCAATGGCACCTGCTCCACAGTTTGTTCATTAAGGCAGTCCTCGGCTTACAACTACGGAATTTCCATGGCTAAATAAGGCAGTCGTTAAGCGAATCGCGGCAGTGGCTAAGCGAGTTACACAGTCGTTAAGCAAATCAGACTCCCCCCCCCGTGATTTTGGTTGTCGGAGCTTGGCTGGGAAAGTCCCAAAGAGTGACCCGGGACTTTGCAACCGTCGTAAATACAGGGCAGTCCTCGACTTAACGCCCACAACTTACCCCTCAAGTTTTATGTTGCTAAATGAGAAATTGGTTCAGTGAATTTTGCCCCGTTTTACCATCTATGGTTCACTTTTCTTCCCAGATTTGTTCTGTGAATCCCTGTAGTTGTTAAGTGAGTAACGAGGTTGTTAAGTGGATCCGGCTTCCCCCATCAACTTCACTGCTCAGAAGGTCGCAAAAGGGGATCACGTGACCCCAGGGAGGCTGCCACCGTCATAAATACGAGTCAGTTGGCAAGCCTCTTTGAGTTTTGATCACATGACGATGGGGACACTGCAACGGTCATAAGTAATGTACAGGTCGTCGTCAACTTAATAACGGTTTGCTTAGTGGCCGTTGGAAGTTACAACGGTGCTGAAAAAAACTGACTTATGACCGTTGTTCAGTGCGGTCACTAAGCAAACCGTCGTAAGCTGAGGACTAAACAACGGTCACTAAATGGACCATTGTAAGTCGAGGCCTCTCTGCCTATTCTGGTGGCCAAGTGCCCAAATTTGGATCGCGTGGCCATGGGGATGCTGCGACGGTCGTAAGGGCGAGGACCCGTTGTAAGTCACTTTTTTTTCCACCGCCGTCGTAACTTTGGTCACGAAACGAGGACCGTGCAGCTGGGCGATGGATGGGTCTCCTGATTCTCTTTTTGGGTTGCAGTGCTGCAGGAGGCAGTTAGTACCCAGGAGCAGGATTTGGTTCAACTGGTGCTGCGTTACCGGGACTACCAGAGATCCATCAAGCGCTTGGCCGGGATTCCCGTCCTGTTAGAAAAACTGCGGAAGGTCAGTCCTCCCCTCACCCCTGCCTCGGTTTCCCCTCCCCCCCCATCCTTGTTGAGAATAATAATAATGGTGGTTTATGGTGCAAATCGCAAGCGAAGAGGAATTGATTGCAAATTTGATAACGGCAGCTAAGATTAGTGGTGGCTAAATATGGGAGAGGGAATTGGGTTATTCCAAGAAACGAGGGGTATAATGAAACATGGAATATGGCAATCAATGGTAAATTGGCAACAGAAATTGAATTTTAAAAAACGGATGGTTAAAGTAAATGATTGTAACGGAATATGGGAGGATTTTTATAAAAACAGGGCTGGTGGAAGAAGGCAAAGGGAATAAAGCTAGTCAGGAATATATGCTGTTTTGGAGGGGATTAAGGGCACAGTTGAAATATATTGTTAGTAGTATAGTAGTAGTAGTAATGATGATGATGATGATAAAGTTGGAAGGGACCTTGGAGGTCATCTAGTCCAACCCTCTGCTCAGGCAGGAAACCCTAGACCACAGGTCGGCAACCTGCGGCTCCGGAGCCGCATGCGGCTCTTTGAGCCTTCCCCTGTGGCTCCCAGCTTTGCTGAGAGAGACAGAGACAGAGAGAGGCAATTGCGCTTCCCTGCTTCTCTCTCCCCCCCCTCTCTCTCTCCGTGTGTGTGTGTGTGTGTGTGTGTGTGTGTGTGTGTGTGTGTAAAAGAGAGTGCACTCACAGTGTTCTCCCAGGAGCTGAAAAGCTTACTGGGCGGAGCTCCTCCCTTTGTTGCATCTCTGCAGGAAGCAGGAAGCAGGAAGGGCAGGAGAGAGCTAGCTAGCCCAGCTAGGCTGACTCAGGAATTCTGGGAGTTGAAGTCCATGAGTCATAAAAGAGACGAGGTTGCCTACCCCTGAGCTTGTTGGACAACAGCTTGAAGCTTGCCAGGTGAGCAGCAGATGGGAGGGGGGGGAGAAAGAGAGAGAGAGAGAGGGAGGGAGAGAGAGAGAGAGAGGAAAGAGAGAGAGAAAGAAAGAGAGCGGGGGAAGAGGAGTGGCAGACCAAGGGCAGATAGAGAGGGAGGGAGAGAGAGAGACAGAGAGAGAGAGATTCTTTTGACATCTAAAATGAAGATAACACTGCATATATCCTTTTTTACCTGTGTGTGTGTGTGTATGTGTATGTGTATGTATGTATGTGTATGTATGTATGTATATATATATATACACACACACACACACATACATACATAAACATATACATATATATATATATATATATATATATATATATATACACACACATACACACAAATACAAACACACACACACCTATAATAAAGGTAAAAAAGGATATATGCAGTGTTATCTTCATTTTAGATATCAAAAGGGTTTTACAGCTCCCAGTGTTTTGTTTTTGGTGGGAAACGGGTCTAAGTGGCTCTTTGAGTGTTTTGGGTTGCCTACCCCTGCCCTAGACCATTTCACACAAAGGGCTGTCCAGTCCCTTCTTAAAAACCTCCAGTGTTGGAGCATTCACAACTTCTGGAGGCAGGTTGTTAACAATAATAATAATAAAGTCGGAAGGGACCTTGGAGGTCATCTAGTCCAACCCCCTGCTCAGGCAGGGAACCTTGTAACATTTCACACAAAGGCTGTCCAGTCTCTTCTTAAAAACCTCCAGTGTTGGAGCATTCACCGCTTCTGGAGGCAGGTTGCTAATAATAATAATAATAATAAAATAAAGTCAGAAGGGGCCTTGGAGATCATCTAGTCCAACCCCTTGCTCAGGCAGGAAACCCTGTACCATTTCACACAAAGTGCTGTCCAGTCTCTTCTTAAAAACTTCCAGTGTTGGAGCATTCACCGCTTCTGGAGGCAGGTTGCTAATAATAATAATAATAATAAAATAAAGTCAGAAGGGGCCTTGGAGATCATCTAGTCCAACTCCCCGTTCAGGCAGGAAACCCTAGACCATTTCACACAAAGGGCTGTCCAGTCTCTTCTTAAAAACTTCCAGCATTGGAGCATTCACAACTTCTGGAGGCAGGTTGTTAACAATAATAATAATAAAGTCGGAAGGGACCCTGGAGGTCATCTATTCCAACCCCCTGCTTAGGCAGGGAACCCTGTACCATTGCAGACAAAGGGCTGTCCAGTCTCTTCTTAAAAACTTCCAGCGTTGGAGCATTTGTTGGAAATGGTAAATCTCTCCCGGGGCTTCTCCCCTTCTTCAGTTCAGACACGCAGTTATTCCTCAACTTAACGACCGCAAGAGAGCCCAGAATTTCGGTCACTAAGCGAGACATCTGTGAAGTGAATGTTGCCCCGTTTTACGACCTTCCTTGTCACAAAAGTCTGTGGAGGTTATCATTCAGGTCAGGTGTCCCAAAGGTGATTTTTTTCAAGAGGCAACTGGACTTTCATGTTTCTCTTTGAAGATGTTTCGCTTCTCATCCCAGAAGCTTCTTCAGCTCTGACTGGATGGTGGGAGAATGGAAGGATTTATACTCCTTGCAGACAGCTGGTCATTTGCCTCCTTTTAGAGAGTCGTTGAGGCCACTTGGAGGTTTATCTCTGTCCTCAGGATCACCAGAATGGTACAAGTGGGTGTGGAGCCTCCCTGGAACACCTGAAAGGAATTCCACACCCATTTGCACCACTCAGGTGACCCCGAGGACATAGGTCAGCCTCCAAGTGGCCTCAAAGACTCCCTAAAAGGCAAATGACCAACTGTCTGCAAGGAGGATAAATCCTTCCATTCCCCTTGAAGATATTTCCCTTCTCAATCCAGAAGCTTCTTCAGCTCTGACTGGATGGCGGGGAAATGGAAAGATTTATACTCCTTGCAGACAGCCGGTCATTTGCCTCCTTTTAGAGCAGTGGTTCTCAACTTTTTTAATGCCGCGACCCCCCCCAACCGGTCGTAAGTCGAGGACTACTCAACCGGTTGTAGGTCGAGGACTACTCAACTGGTGCAGCACTGTTTGCAGAATGAGACTTTTGGCGGGCTCAGCAGGGCAGAGACCGCCTGGGCAATTCCTATTGGCTTTGGAAAGCCAATAGGATTAGACTCTATTCAAGAGAGTCTATTCTATTGGCTTTGAAAAGCCAATAGAATAAAAGGGAGTAGCACAGCTACAGAAAAGGGGAAAAAAAATGGCGGACTGCGTTGTTTGGCGACCCCCATGAAATGGTCATTCGACCCCAAATGGGGTCCCGATTCACAGATTGAGAACCACTGCTCTAGTTTAATGAAGAGAAGGAGGAGGGGGACAGGATAGCAGTTCTTCCAGTATCTCAGGGCTGCCCCAAAGAAGAGGGAGTCAAGCTATTCTCCAAAGCGCCTGAAGGCAGGACAAGGAGCAACGGATGGAAACTAATCAAGGAGAGAAGCAACCTGGAATTAAGGAGAAACTTCCTGACCGTGAGGACAATTAACCAGTGGAACAACCTGCTTCCAGAAGTTGTGGGTGCTTCATCACTGATCTAGTTAGAGCCGAAGAAGCTTCTGGGATGAGAAGCAAAATGTCTTCAAAGGAAAAAAACCAGACAGTCCAATGGTCTCCTGAAAAAGCATCTTTGGGATGACGATGATTTGGAGGATGGAGCACCTCCAAAGACGTTGAGCCAAGGCAGTCTAGATGTGGTGGACTTCCATGACAACAAGGAATTCACGAGCTCTTTATATTTGGAAGCCCGCTTCTTCTCATCCCTTATGACAGGGGTAGGCTCTTTTATGACCGGTGGACTTCAACTCCCAGAATCCCCACAGGCCACTTGGAGGTTTGTCCGTGTCCTCGGGGTCCCCTGAGCCGTGCAAATGGGTGTGGAACACAATTTTTTCAGCAGTTCCAAGAAGCCCCCCCTACCCACCCATTTGTACCAGTCAGATGACCCTGGGGACACAGACCAACCTCCAAGTGGCCTGTGGGAATTCTGGGAGTTGAAGTCCACGGGTCTTAACATCTCCAAGCTTGGACAGCCCTGGCGCAACAACACATCCTGTTGCAACTTTGAATTGTCCTTAAACAACCGGTCGTCAATCAAGGATGACCTGGCCATATAAATTCGCTTATTCAGCCATTATCAGTTTCCTGGGGTCCATTTTAATTGCACTTGATGAGGTTTGAAGAGTCTCCGAGATACAGTGGGATATACGACCGATGAATAATTGAAAGAGATGAATAAATAAAGGAAAGTTAAATGGGAAATGAGATTTTGGGCAGCCCCTTTTCTCCTTTTAATGTTTCTTGGCTGCCAATCCCTAATACAAACTCCAGAGAAGGTCCCGTTCGTATCTTTAAATAATTGCATTTAATGATGATGATGATGATGATAAAGTTAGAAGGGACCTTGGAGGTCATCTAGTCCAACCCCCCTGCTCAGACTGGAAACCATGTACCATTTCGGGCAAATAATAATAGTAGTAAAGTTGGAAGGGACCTTGGAGGTCATCTAGTCCAACCCCCTGCTCAGGGAGGAAATCCTGTGCCATTTCGGACAAATGGCTGTCCAGTCTCTTAAAGACTTCCAGTGTTGGACCATTCACCGCTTCTGGAGGCAGGTTGTTAATAATAATAATAATAATAATAATAATAATAATAATAATAATAATAATAATAATAATAATGTCAGAAGGGACCTTGGAGGTCATCTAGTCCAACCCCCTGCTCAGGCAGGAAACCCTGTAGCATTTCGGGCAAATAGTAATAGTAGTAAAGTTGGAAGGGTCCTTGGAGGTCATCTAGTCCAACCCCCTGCTCAGGCAGGAAACCCTATACCGTTTTGGACAAATGGCTGTCCAATCTCTTCTTAAAGACTTCCAGTGTTGGACCATTCACTGCTTCTGGAGGCAGGTTGTTAATAATAATAATAATAAAGTCAGAAGGGACCTTGGAGGTCATCTAGTCCAACCCCCTGCTCAGGCAGGAAACCCTGTACCATTTCGGGCAAATAGTAATAGTAGTAAAGTTGGAAGGGACCTTGGAGGTCATCTAGTCGAACCCCCTGCTCAGGCAGGAAACCCTACACCATTTCGGACAAATGGCTGTCCAGTCTCTTCTTAAAAACTTCCAGTGTTGGAGCATTTACTGCTTCTGGAGGCAGGTTGTTCCACTGGTTAATTGTTCTCACTGTCAGGAAGTTTCTCCATAGTTCTAGGTTGCTTCTCTCCTTGATTAAAGTTTCCACCCGTTGCTTCTTGTCCTGCCTTCAGGTGCTTTGGAAAATAGCTTGATTCCCTCTTCTTTATGGCAGCCCCTGAGATACTGGAAGACTGCTATCCTGTCCATTTCCTTCCCCTCCTTAACCGTAGCGGAGAGTGTTGTCTGAAGGGATTACACAGATAGTTCTCGACTTACGACCACAATTTCTGTCACTAAGTGAGATAGGGGTTAAGTGAGTTTTGCCCCATTGTACGACTTTTCCTGCCGTCGTCATTAAACAAATCATGCAGTGGTTAAACGAGTAACCCGGTTGTTAAGTGAATCCGGCTGGTCAGAAGGTCACAGAAGGGGATCACGTGACCACGGGACGCTGCGACCGTCGTAAATACGAGTCAGCTGCCAAGAGGCCGAATTGGGATCGCGCGACCGCGGGGAGGCTGCCATGGTGTGAAAAACGGTCCCGTCCCTTTTTCCAGCGCCGTTGTGTCTTGAAACGGCCGCTGAGCGAAACGTCGTAAGTTGAGGACTCTCTGTATTTCATTTTGCCTGTTCTGTTCTCTTTGCTGCAGGCTCAAGATTTCTACGTAGAGATGAAGTGGGAATTCACGAGTTGGGGTATGTGTGCCTGCCGAAAGAAAGCAGCTGATGCCCCAGTTGGGAAGGGGCTGTCGCCTCTTTGCCCCCCAAGTGGGAAAAAACCCACCCCCCCTTAAGAAAAAAAAATCTCCCCCCAAGGGGCATTTGCAGGATTAGCAAAAGCCAAGATAGTCCCACGTGTGCAAAGCCTTCTCGTGTTTATGTTGTTGAATGCATCGTAACAGGCGGGGCTTCAATTCCACAGACAGGTCAGCCATCTTGACTTTTTTGACCCCACCCCATGCCAGACGTCCCTACTTTCCCAGGGTAGAGAACATGGCTGCCCAGACTAGGGGAAGGACTTAATTCCGGGGACAAGACCCAGGGACTCGACACAGAGATATAGAATGACTGAGTGAAGAAAGGAAGGAAGGAAGGAAGGGAGGGAGGGAGGGAGGAAGGAAGGAAGGAAGGAAGGAAGGAAGGAAGGAAGGAAGGAAGGAAGGAAGGAAGGAAGGAAGAAAAAGAGTCCCACCCAGGGACTCTTGACACAGAGATAGGCAGCATATAGAATGACTGAGTGAAGAAAGGAAGGAAGGAAGGAAGGAAGGAAGGAAGGGAGGAAGGAAGGAAGGAAGGAAGGAAGGAAGGGAGGAAGGAGAAGGGAGGGAGGAAGGAAGAGAGGAAGGAGAGGAAGGAAGGAGAAGAGCGGGAGGGAGGGTGGAAGGAAGGAAGGAAGGAAGGAGAGGGGAGAGGAAGGAAAGGGAGGGAGGGAGGAAAGAAGGAAGGAGAAGAGACAGGGAAGGAAAGAAGGGAGGAGAAGAGACAGGGGAAGGAAGGAAAGGGAAGGAAGGAAAGAAGGAAGGAGAAGGGAGGGAGGGAGGAAGGAAGGAAGAGATGAAGGAAAGGAAGGAGGGAGGGAGGGAGGGTGGAAGGAAGGAAAGAAGGAAGGAGAAGAGTGGGAGGGAGGGAGGGTGGAAGGAAAGAAGGAGAAGCGAGAAGAAGGAAAGAAAGAAGGAAAAGAAGGAGGAAGGAATGAAGAAAGGAGAAGAGAGGAAGGAAGGAAGGAAAGAAGGAAGGAGAAGAGTGGGAGGGAGGGAGGGTGGAAGGAAAGAAGGAGAAGCGAGAAGAAGGAAAGAAAGAAGGAAAAGAAGGAGGAAGGAATGAAGAAAGGAGAAGAGAGGAAGGAAGGAAGGAAAGAAGGAAGGAAGCAAGTGCCCCCAAGGCACTCACCCTCCTCTGCTTTTTCGCAGTTCCTTTGGTCTCCAAGATTTGCCCCAGTGACACATACAAGGTGTGGAAGTGCGGCCAGAACCTGCGGGTAGACACAACGTTGCTGGGCTTCGACCACATGACGTGGCAGCGTGGGAACCACAGCTTCATCTTCCGGGGTCAAGGTGGGTGAAAACTCTTGGAAGGCTACTTTGACATTCACACCTGTCGATGGCTCATGAAAGCAGCCAAGTTTTCTTTTGCGCTGGAGAAAAGGTTTTCCTTCCATTCTGCCCCCCCCAAAAGGTGCCGTTGCTTTAAGAAGCTGATTAAAATGTCCTGCTTTCAGGGGTCAGCTCACTTAAAGCAGCCGCATCCTTTTTCCCTTCCCTGCAAAACTGGGGATTAAATAGTTTGCTTTAAGGAGGTGCAGAGTTGTGCTGTTTCCGACGGATCTCTCTATTTCCAAATACATGTTGATGGGTCCACAACTTGTGTTAACAATGCTTAATGAATACATTTGTTTTTGGGCTTAGGATACCCCAGTGTTTTTCCACCTTGGACACTTTAAGAGGGGTGGACTTTCTCTCCCAGAATTCCCCAGCCAGCCTGCTTTAAGAGGGGTGGACTTTCACTCCCAGAATCCCCCAGCCAACCTGCTTTTAAGAGGGGTGGGCTTCCACTCCCAGAATCCCCTAGCCAACCTGTTTTAAGAGGGGTGGACTTCCACTCCCAGAATTCCCCAGCCAGCCTGCTTTAAGAGGGGAGGACTTCCATTCCCAGAATCCCCTAGCCAGCTTGCTTTAGGAGGGGTGGACTTCCACTCCCAGACTCCCCCAGCCAGCCTGCTTTAAGAGGGGTGGGCTTCCATTCCCAGAATCCCCCAGTCAGGATGCTTTAAGAGGGGTGGACTTCCACTCCCAGAATCCCCCAGCCAACCTGCTTTTAAGATTGCTTGATATACAATTATTTGTTTTTTTTTTACTTCATTCTGGTTATAAGTCTACCTTATAACATCCTGTAGACTACCTGTACAGGTGTTTCACTGTAACCTAATATTGGAGCTTCCTTGAAGATGTTTTTAAAGGGGGGGGGTTACATGAATCGGTCATAAAATGAATTAGACCAGGATTAGAGACGTTCTCAGGACTTGGTGAAAAGAACTAGCTAGCTTTGTTCTCTCGTCACTTAAGCTCCCGCCTGCTTGTACAGGGGTGTGATGCCACGTCTTGCTATAAAAAGGGGAGGGGGTTTAAGAGACAAGGCTGCTTTCAATATTTGGACCAATTGGACCATGCTTCTGGGGAAGGGGCTTCGTTCAAAGACTTATGAGACAAGGCTGCTTTCAATATTTGGACCAATTGGGGAAGGGGCTTCATTCAAAGACCTATGAGAGGAGGCTGCTTTCAATATTTGGACCAATCAAATGATGCTTCTGGGGAAGGGGCTTCATTCAAAGACTTATGAGAGGAGGCTGCTTTTAATATATGAACCAATTGGATGATGCTTCTGGGGAAGGGGCTTCGTTGAAAGACTTATGAGACAGGGCTGCTTTCAATATTTGGACCAATTGGGGAAGGGGCTTCATTCAAAGACCTATGAGAGGAGGCTGCTTTCAATATTTGGACCAATTGGATGATGCTTCTGGGGAAGGGGCTTCGTTCCAAGACCTATGAAATAAGGCTGCTTTCAATATTTGGACCAATCAAATGATGCTTCTGGGGAAGGGGCTTTGTTCAAAGACTTATGAGACAAGGCTGCTTTCAATATCTGGACCAATTGGATGATGCTTTTGGGGAAGGGGCTTTGTTCAAAGAGGGGACCCCTCTCTTTCTCTCTCCCCCCCCCAGATACGAGTGCGGTGTTCATGGAGGTGGATCACAACAGGCGGGTGGTCTACTCCGAAACGCTGGCGCTGGCTGCCCACGACCAGGAGACCATCCTCGCGGCCATGCAGCCCACCGAGGAGCAGGTGATGGGGCGCCTGATGGCCCCCGTGGTCGCCACGCACCTGGACATGCGCAATATCGCCTTCGAGAGGTACGGGAAGGGAGCGCGGGAAGGCCCACGGCTTGTCCCGGGTTCAAAACAGTGAGCATCCTGGCATTGACTGATGGGCATGGGGCATTGGTGGTGGTGGGGGGTCTTCGAAAAATAAAAAAGGGTGAGGGGTGCAATTTATGCATGTTTGGCAGCCCCCCCCACTTTCCTGGGCTGAAGTGTTAGAAGACCTGGCTTTGCTGACTAACTTGAGGTTCACAGAGGGACATGTCACCTGGTTATTGAACTGTTGATGTTCCCTAGTTGGGTCATGAAACGTCTGCAAGAAAACCACCCAGCTCAGAGAGCACCAGGGACCCCACAGTCTTCCTCCCCCCTCCTTCTCCTCCTCCTCCTCCCCCTTCTCCTCCTGCTCCTCCTCCTCCTCCTGCTCCTCGCAACTCCCCCCACCCTTCTAGCATTGATGATGTTCCCTAGTTGGGTCATGAAATGTCTGCAAGAAAACCACCCAGCTCAGAGAGCACCAAGTACCCCACAGTAGCCTTCTTCCTCCTCCTCCTCCTCCTCCTCCTCCTCCTCCTCCTCCTCCTCCTCCTCCTCCTCCTCCTGTCACATGACCTTGCTTTGTAACTAGCCATTATTTTGGGCTTTTCGGGAAAATGGCAGTCACAGCAAACCTTTGATTCATTTCATGAGTGTGACGGCTGCTTTCCAACTGTCAAAAGTTATGACTGTGATGACCAGGCTCTCTTACGGTCATAAGCCGAGAATCACTTACGACACATTTGGATAAAAAATAAACAATTTACAGGGAGTCCTTGACTTACAGCAGTTCGTTTAGTGACTGTTTGAAGTTACGATGGCATTGGAAAAAAAGGGACTGAGGACCATTTTCCACCCTTTTTCCACCCGTTGCAGCATCCCCACGGTCAGGGGATCCAAATTTAAGACGCTCGGCAACTGACTCGTGTTTACGACGGTCGCAGCGTCCCCGGGGGTGTCACGCGATCCCCTTTTGCGACCTTCTGACAGGCCAAATCAATGGGGGGAAGCCAGATCCACTTAACAACTGGGTTACTAATTGAACAACTGCAGCAAGAATGAGCCAAAACTCACTTAACAAATGTCTCCCTTAGCAACATCAATTCTGGCCTCCCTTGTCGTCGTAAGGCGAGGACTCCCTATCATTCTCCCAGTGATTCCTTGTCTCTCTCTCTCTCTCTCAGGAACAAGACGGGTATATTAGGCTGGAGGAGCGAAAAGACTGAGGTGGTGAACGGGTACGAAGCCAAGGTGAGACCTCTGATACTGAAGACTAGAAGCTTGACAAGTGGATGGGAAGAGGGGTGGGAAGGGGCAGAAATGTACTGTGTGTCCCTCGCTCGACAGGTTTACGGGGCTTCCAATGTGGAACTCATCACCCGGACGCGGACCGAACACCTTTCCGAGCAGCACAAAGGTAAAACCAAAGGTGAGGATCGCTTTGCTTTCGGCCAAAAATCTGGATTTTTTTTTCCTTGCTGAATTGTGCTGCTCCTCCTATTTGTAACATGGGTGTCCTTATTGCGGCCTCCTCGCCTTACGACCGCAAGGGAGCCCGAAATTTCCCATCGCTAAACCAGACTTTGTTAAGCGGGTTTCGCCCCATTTTACAACCTTCTCTTGCCGCCGTCGCTAAGCGAGTCACCACTGTTAAATGAGTAACACGGTTGTAAAGTGAACCTTTCCCCCTCGACTTTGCTTGTCGAGAGGTCCCGCACACGGGACGCGGCAACCGTCATAAATACGAGTCGGTTGCCAAGCGTCCGAATTTTGATCCTGGGGATGCTGCGACGGTCGTAAGTGTGAAAAATGGCCAAAGATCCCCTTTTTTTTTTCACTGCTATTGTAACTTCGATCGGCCGCTGAACAAACCGCCGTAAGTCGAGGATTCTCTGTCATTCATTTTGCTTTTTCGTATTCTTTCTGCTCACCCTGTTTTCCTGGAGTGTTTGGACATGGGTCTCATTAGAAATAATTCTAATTAAAAAAAAAACAAAACCAAAAAATCCTAAGCCACTCTGTGGACTTTGTGCGGTGCCCCAGATATGGCATAGCTTTATATTATATTTCATCTCCTGTGCTATTCCTGTTCATTAGAATTAGAATAACAGAGTTGGAAGGGACCTTGGAGGTCATCTAGTCCAACCCCCTGCTCAGGCAGGAAACCCTACACCAGAGGTAGGCAACCTTGGCTCTTTTATGATTCGTGGACTTCAACTCCTAGAATTCCTGTGCCAGCCATGCTGAGGGGAAAGGGAGAGGTTTCCAAGCTGAGCCATGGATGGCTCAGGAATTCTGGGAGTTGAAGTCCACAAGTCATGAGGGGGCCATAGTTCCCCCACACTGGCTCAGGAATTCTGGGAGTTGAAGTCCACGAGTCATAAAAGAGCCAAGGTTGCCTATCCCTGGTCTAGGAGGCTCACCGCTTAGAACAGGAGGACTTAGGACAGGGGTAGGGAACCATGGCTCTTTTATGACTCGTGGACTTCAACTCCCAGAATTCCTCAGCCAGCATGAGGGAAACTTTGGCCCCTTCATGACTGGTGGACTTCAACTCCCAGAATTCCTCAGCCAGCATGAGGGAAACTTTGGCCCCTTCATGACTGGTGGACTTCAACTCCCAGAATTCCTGAGCCAGCCATTCTGAGGGAAAAAGGAGAGGTTTCCAAGTGAGCCATGCTGGCTCAGGAATTCTGGGAGTTGAAGTCCACAAGTCATAAAAGAGCCACGGTTGCCTACCCCTGCCCTACACCATTTCAGACAAATGGCTGTCCAGTCTTTTCTTAAAAACTTCCAGTGTTGGACCAGTCACAACTCCTGGTGGCAGGTTGTTCCACTGGTTAATTGTTCTAACTGTCAGGAAGTTTCTCCTTAGTTCCAAATTGCTTCTTGATGAGTTTCCATCCGTTGTTTCTTGTCCTGCCTTCAGGGGCTTTGGAGAACAGCTTGACTCCCTCTTCTTTGGGGCAGCCCCTGAGATACTGGAAGACTGCTATCCTGTCCCCCCTCATCCTTCTCTTCATTAAACTAGACCAGGGGTAGACAACCTCGGCTCTTTTATGATTCATGGACTTCAACTCCCAGAATTCCTGGGCCAGCACGGCTCAGCTTGGAAATCTCTCCCTTTCCCGTCAGCATGGCTCGCTCAGGAATTCTGGGAGTTGAAGTCCACAAGTCATGAAAGGGGCCATAGTTCCCCAATGCTGGCTCAGGAATTCTGGGAGTTGAAGTCCATGAGTCATAAAAGAGCCAAGGTTGCCTACCCCTGAACTGGACATACCCAATTCCAGCAGCTGTTCCTTATATGCTTTAACCTCCAGGCCTTTGATCATCTTTGTTGCTCTTCTCTGCACTCTTTCTAGAGCAGTGGTTCTCAACCTTTTTAATGCCGCAACCCCCAACCGGTCGTAAGTCGAGGACTACTCAACCGGTCGTAAGTCGAGGACTACTCCACTGGTGCAGCACCGTTTGCAGAAGGGGACTTTTGGCGGGCTCAGCAGGGCAGAGACAGCCTGGACAATTCCTATTGGCTTTTGAAAGCCAATAGAATTAGACTCTATTCAAGAGAGTCTATTCGATTGGCTTTCAAAAGCCAATAGAATAAAAGGGAGTAGCACAGCTAAGGAAAAGGGGGGAAAAACTGGCGGACTGCGTTGTTTGGCGACCCCCGTGAAATGGTCATTCGACCCCAAATGGGGTCCCGACCCACAGGTTGAGAACCACTGGGCTAGAGTCTCAACATCTTTTTGACATCGTGGTGACCAGAAACTGGATCTTCCGTCCACAAATTCCAAATGACACCCCTTTTTAACAGCGTTCATCTCTTGCAGGTGGTAAAACCCCATTGCAGTCGTTTCTGGGCATTGCCGAACAACACGTGGGTCCCAACAACGGGGTGAGTCACTGGAAGAACAGCGGTGCGAGGGTCCCGGAGCACGGGGAAGCAACTTGCATATTTTCTCTGACCCTCTGCAGGCTCTCATCACGCAGACGCTGAGCCACGCCAACCCCACGGCCATCACGCCTGAGGAATACTTTGACCCCAATTTTGAGCTGGGGACTCGGGATATGGGGCGACCCATCGAACTCACCACCAAGACGCAAAAGTGAGAGCAGAGCCAGGGGGCCGTTGGACTGTTTTTGAAGGGTGGGACAAGCGGGGGGGGGAGGGGAACCTTTCCTCACGGTCGTCCTCCCCTTCCTCCCTCAGGTTCAAAGCCAAGTTGTGGCTGTGCGAAGACCACCCTTTGTCCCTGGCCGAGCAAGTGGCCCCCATCATTGACCTCATGGCGGTCAGCAACGCCCTCTTTGCCAAACTCCGGGATTTTATCACGTTGCGTCTGCCGCCTGGCTTTCCGGTCAAAATTGGTGAGGGTCCGTGCCAGGAAAGGGTTAGGCAGAAGAAAAATTGCCTATAGAACAGTGGTTCTCAACCTTTTTAATGCTGCGACCCCCAACCGGTCGTAAGTCGAGGACTACTCAACCGGTCGTAAGTTGAGGACTACTCCACGGATGCAGCACCGTTTGCAGACTGGGACTTTTGGCGGGCTCAGCAGGGCAGAGACAGCCTGGTCAATTCCCATTGGCTTTTGAAAGCCAATAGAATTAGGCTCTATTCAAGAGAGTCTATTCTATTGGCTTTCAAAAGCCAATAGAATAAAAGGGAGGAGCACAGCTAAGGAAAAGGGGGGGAAAAATGGCGGACTGCGTTGTTTGGCGACCCCCGTGAAATGGTCGTTCGACCCCAAATGGGGTCCCGACCCACAGGTGGAGAACCACTGCTATAGAAGCAGCATGCTTCTCTCCTGCATCTCTCACAGAGCAGAGAGATTGGAGAGAAAGGGATTTTAAGAGAGTCCTGCAATCTCTTTGCTCTTCAACGTATCACAAGCAATGAGATTGTGCAAGAATCCGGGGCTGGGTGCAACCGGTTGTGCTTTGTGAACAGCTTACAGTACTCTCTTGTAGGTGAATTCTGGGACTTGAAATCCACCCCTCTTAAAGCATGGCTGACTGGGGAATTCTGGGAGTGGAAGTTCACCCCTCTTAAAGCATTCTGGCTGGGGAATTCTGGGAGAGGAAGTCCACCCCTCTTAAAGCATGGCTGGCTGGGGGATTCTGGGAGATGAAGTCCATCCCTCTTAAAGCATGGCTGGCTGGGGGAATTCTGGGAGTGGAAGTCCCCACCCCTCTTAAAGCATTGCTGGCTGAGGAATTCTTGGAGTGAAAGTCCATCCCTCTTAAAGCATGGCTGGCTGGGGGATTCTGGGAGTGGAAGTGCCCACCCCTCTTAAAACATGGCTGGCTGGGGAATTCTGGGAGTGGAAGTTCACCTATCTTCAAGAATGCTGGCTGGGGAATTCTGGGAGTTGAATTCCACCTCTCTTAAAATTGCTGAGAAAACACTAGGCTGAATGCAGTGGGTTTAAAAGCTTCGGTGTTTTTTTCTGAAGATGCTGAACCAGAAGCTACAGATCCATTCATTGTGCAAATCCCATTGTATGTTTGTGTCTGTGTGTTTGGGTGGATGGGGGAGAGAGAGAGAGCTGTTCTGCTTTACAGCGATGGTGGAAGATGGGAGTTGTAGTGGAAGACACAGACAAGAGGCTGCTGAAGGAGACCACATGGGTGGGTCTTCCTTCTGCAAAAGTGATCCTCATGCTGAAGGAGGCGGCAGGGCTGCCCTGTGAGACACACCTACACAAATACACCCCTGCCCTGTGCTCCCTTCCCTCTCGCCTCCAGAAATCCCCATCTTCCACATCCTCAATGCTCGCATCACCTTTGGCAACTTGAACGGCTGCGACGAGCCGGTGGTCTCCCTCCGCAGCACGGGCAGCCCCGGCAGCGATGCCCCCTCGACCGGGAGTGACCGGTCCAGCATCAGCAGCTCCAGCTCCCTTGGTGAGTGGGGGGGGTGAGAAGGGAAGGGGCACATGGAGTGGGTTGATAGGGTGGGGGGGCAGGAGGCGCCCCGCAAAGCCAAGTGGGGGTTCGGAGGGGTCTATCAAGCAAGTGGAACCATCTGCCTCCAGAAGCGGTGAATGCTCCAACACTGGAAGTTTTTAAGAAGAGACTGGACAGCCATTTGTCTGAAATGGTGTAGGGTTTCCTGCCTGAGCAGGGGGTTGGACTAGATGACCTCCAGGGTCCCTCCCAATTCTGCAATCCTTCCTTCCTTTCTTCCTTCCTTCCTTCCTTCCCCATCACTAGAGGTTTTTAAGAAGAGACTGGACAGCCATTTGTCCGAAATGGTATAGGGTTTCCTGCCTGAGCAGGGGGTTGGACTAGATGACCTCCAAGGTCCCTTCCAACTCTATTATTATGGATCATCGCACAGTCAGCCAGATGTTCAGACTGGATTTGGCTTTTTGTCTACCTATCGAGTCCTTACCCAGGACCTGGGATAGGCAGATGTGGATGTTTGATGGTATTACAGATATCGTCGCAGGATGGAAGCAGTTCCTAGTAAGGCCGCCTTTTGCAATTGACTAATAGCGAATTTGTCAATGCCGATGATGGTGTTCAAGTGGGGCTCCAGTTGTTTTGGGATTGCACCCAAGGCGCCTATGACTATTGGTACTACCCTTGTATATTATTATTATTATTAAGTCAAGATGGCATCACAAGCATTTGATTTATTTATTCAACTTGTATGCTGTCCATCTCACTGTCCAAATGACGCCTGCATCCCTCTGACGGTGGCTGGACCCCCTTCCTGCAGGCTCCTGCCGCTGCTTTGAGATGGACCCCTCCCTCTTCGAAGCCCCCCAGGGTTACAGCATCGTCGGGAGACACCCGGAGCCGTTGCGGGAAGATGAGGATGATTTACTGCAGTTCGCCATCCAACAGAGCTTGCTAGACGCGGGCAGCGAATATGACCAGGTAAGGGACCACCGACCTCGGGAGGTTGGGGGTCTGGGGGGACCAGAAGCTGGGCATCGCTGGGCTGGCCCAAGAAGGAAACTCATCAAGGAGAGAAGCAACCTGGAACTAAGGAGAAACTTCCTGACAGTGAGAACGATTAACCAGTGGAACTCCTTGCCTCCAGAAGCGGTGAATGCTCCAACACTGGAGGTTTTTAAGAAGAGACCAGACAGCCATTTGTCTGAAATGGGATAGGGTTTCCTGCCTGAGCAAGGGGTTGGACTGGATGATCTCCAAGGTTCTATTCTATTCTATTCTATTCTATTCTATTCTATTCTATTCTATTCTATTCCATTCCATTCCATTCCATTCCTGAAAGTTAGAACAATTAACTAGTGGAACTCCTTGCCTCCAGAAGTTCTGGGTGCTCCAACACTGGAGGTTTTTAAGAAGAGACCAGACAGCCATTTGTCTGAAATGGTATAGGGTTTCCTGCCAGAGCAGGGGGTTGGACTAGATGACCTCCAAGATCCCTTCCAACTTTTATTATTAATCTGCCTCCAGAAGCTGTGAATGCTCCAACACTGGAAGTTTTTAAGAAGACACCGGACAGCCATTTGTCTGAAATGGTACTATAGGGTTTCCTACCTGAGCAGGGGGTTGGACTAGACGACCTCCAAGGTCCCTTCGAACTTTATTATTATTATTATTATAATCCTGCACTACACTTGATCTCTCATACCGTGTTTTCCCGAAATGAAGACCTGGTCTTAAATTTTTTTTGCCTCCAGAAGAGGCACTAAATCTTAATTTTGGAGAAAGCCTTATCTTAGGACCGCCACAGCCAGGCCTACCACACCCCGACACCTGTCGCACGGCTGCTTGACTTCTTCTGCGGCTGCTTGCCGCCACTTGTGGCTGAACGCCGTGTGGCACATTGCACCATTTCTGCTCCTCCCGGCACGATGCCGCGTGGCTCTTTGGGCTACTTCCGCTGCGGACGTCGGCCCAAACCACCACGTGGCCTTCTGCCACGAGCAACAGAAGCAGGCTGAAGTGCGCAAGCCGCGGAAACAGCCCGAAGCACCACGCAGCGTCTTGCCATGAGCAATGGCAACGGCACAATGTGCCACATGGCGTTCTGCCGCAAATAGCGGCCAGTGGCTGCAGAAGAAGCCAAGCAGCGGCACGACAAGTGTCAGGATGTGAAAGGCCCAGTTGTGGCGGTCCTACTGGTAAGGTAAGCGGGTGTGGGGCGCATGGGGCAGCTTCACCCCCCCTACCCCTGCCCTAGCTTGATTTTTAGGGGTGCGCCTTGCCGCCAAACTAGTAGGGCTTATAATAGGCCGACCCCCAAAAATGAAGCTAGGGTTTACTGACGGGCTGGGTCTAATTTTCGGGGAAACACGGTAAAACTATATCTTTCTCAAGAATGGAGACGAGGATCGTTTCAACGTAGAGGTTTAAGTGGCAGTAGATTTGACAGCTACTATCTTCATATAATAATAGTAATAGTAGTAGTAGTAGTAATAATAACAACAACAACAACAACAACAACCCAGACTTAACAATTGTCGATAAGAAAGACAAAAAAGTCTGGATAGTGGACGTGGCAGTGCCTGGAGATAGCAGAATAGACGAGAAAGAACTGGAGAAGATAACAAAATACAAAGACCTACAAATAGAAATAGAAAGACTGTGGCAAAAGCAAGCAAGGGTAGTACCAATAGTCATAGGCACCTTGGATGCAATCCCAAAACAACTGGAGCACCACTTGAACACCATTGGCATTGACAAATTCGCTATTAGTCAATTGCAAAAGGCGGCCTTGCTAGGAACTGCTTCCATCCTGCGATGATACCTGTAATACCATAAAACATCCACATCTGCCTATCCCAGGTCCTGGGTAAGGACTCGATAGGTAGACAAAATGCCAAATCCAGTCTGAACATCTGGCTGACTGTGCGATGATCCATAATAATAATAATTAATAATAAAGTTGGAAGGGACCTTGGAGGTCATCTAGTCCAACCCCCTGCTCAGGCAGGAGATCCTATACCATTTCAGACAAATGGCTGTCCAGTCTCTTCTTAAAAACTTCCAGCGTTGGTGCATTCACCGCTTCTGGAGGCAGGTAGTTCCACTGGTTAATTGTTCTTCTAACTGTCAGGAAGTTTCTCCTTAGTTCTAGGTTTTTTCTCTCCTTGATGAATTTCCGTCTGTTGCTTCTCGTCCTGCCTTCAGGCGCTTTGGAGAATAACTTGACTCCCTCTTCTTTGGGGCAGCCCCTGAGATACTGGAACATAGCTATCATGTCCCCCCTCGTCCTTCATTAAACTAGACCAGGGGTAGGCAACCCAAAACACTTAAAGAGCCACTTGGACCCGTTTCCCACCAAAAACAAAACACTGGGAGCCGCAAAACCCTTTTGATATCTAAAATGAAGATAACACTGCATATATCCTTTTTTACCTTTATTATAGGTGTGTGTGTTTGTGTGTGTGGGGGTATTTGTGTGTGTGTATGTGTGTGTGTGTGTGTGTGTGTGTATATGTATGTATGTATGTATGTGTGTGTATATATATATACACACACACACACACACACACACATACACACACAGGTTAAAAAAAGGATATATGCAGTGTTATCTTCATTTTAGATGTCAAGAGGGTCTCTCTCTCTCTCTCTGTCTCTCTCCCTCCCTCTCTATCTGCCCTTGGTCTACCACTCCTCTTCCCCCACTCTCTTTCTTTCTCTCTCTCTCTCTCTCTCTCTCTCTCTCCCTCCCTCTCTCTCTTTCTCTCTCTCTCTTTCTCCCCCCCCCCCTCCTATCTGCTGCTCACCTGGCAAGCTTCAAGCTGTTGTCCAACAAGATCAGGGGTAGGCAACCTCGTCTCTTTTATGACTCATGGACTTCAACTCCCAGAATTCCTGAGTCAGCCTAGCTGGGCTAGCTAGCTCTCTCCTGCCCTTCCTGCTTCCTGCTTCCTGCAGAGACGTAGCAAAGGGAGGAGCTCCGCCCAGTAAGCTTTTCAGCTCCTCGGAGAACATGTGAGTACACTCTCTTTTACACACACACACACACACAGAGAGAGAGAGAGAGAGAGAGAGATTGAAGCAGGGAAGCGCAATTGCCTCTCTCTGTCTCTCTCTCTCTGCAAAGGCAGAGGAGGCTGGGAGCCACAGGGGAAGGCTCAAAGAGCCGCATGCGGCTCCGGAGCCGCAGGTTGCCGACCTGTGAACTAGACATTCCCAATTCCAGCAGCCTTTCCTTATATGCTTTAGCCTCCAGTCCTCTAATCATCTTTGTTGCTCTTCTCTGCACTCTTTCTAGAGTCTCAACATCTTTTTTATATTGTGGTGACCAAAACTGGATGCCATATTCCAAGTGCCATATTCCAAGTGCCAAAACCCCTAAGTTCAACTTCCCGCTCCCTTAACTGTCTCCCATTGCTGACTCCCCCTTTCCCCAATGACCAGTGAGGTTCAAGCCAGATGTTTCCAGAATGATCACTTCAAGAAAGGCAACTGCTTTCTTCTCCCAGCCGGGTGACCCTGAAGCAGCATCTCGAGCAGATACAGTAGTTTCGCTTTCCCCCAGATATCTCCGCCCCTTTCCACCCTCCCTAGAGTCTACGGCAGGCTGCCATCGTAGGGTAGCAAAACACGCCAGCCAGCATAAAGTGGCAGCTGAACTGGGATTGAAGCCCATACCATCCGTACGTGCGTTGCAGCTGCAAAACGGGCTTCCACCGTCTTTCCAACCATAGTCAACACGTTCGCCATCTCAATATTTTTTTAAGATTTACGGACTTCAATTCCCAGAATTCCACAGTCATGCTTTAAGCTGGTTGGATTTCAACTCCCAGAATTCCATAATCAGCATTTTTTTTAAAGACTTATGGACTTCAACTCCCAGAATTCCCCAATCAGTATGCTTTTAGCTAATTGGACTTGAACTCCCAGAATTCCCCAATCAGTATTTTTTAAGATTTACGGACTTCAACTCCCAGAATTCCACAGTCATACTTTAAGCTGGTTGGATTTCAACTCCCAGAATTCCCCAATCAGTATTTTTTTTTAAGTTTTACGGACTTCAACTCCCAGAATCCCACAATCATGCTTTAAGCTGGTTGGACTTCAACTCCCAGAATTCCATAATCAGCATTTTTTTTAAGACTTGTGGACTTCAACTCCCAGAATTCCCCAATCAGTATGCTTTAAGCTGGTTGGACTTCAACTCCCAGAATTCCCCAATCAGTATTTTTTTTTAAGTTTTACGGACTTCAACTCCCAGAATCCCACAATCATGCTTTAAGCTGGTTGGACTTCAACTCCCAGAATTCCATAATCAGCATTTTTTTTAAAGACTTATGGACTTCAACTCCCAGAATTCCCCAATCAGTATGCTTTTAGCTAGTTGGACTTGAACTCCCAGAATTCCCCAATCAGTATTTTTTAAGATTTACGGACTTCAACTCCCAGAATTCCACAGTCATACTTTAAGCTGGTTGGATTTCAACTCCCAGAATTCCCCAATCAGTATTTTTTTTTAAGTTTTACGGACTTCAACTCCCAGAATCCCACAATCATGCTTTAAGCTGGTTGGACTTCAACTCCCAGAATTCCATAATCAGCATTTTTTTTAAGACTTGTGGACTTCAACTCCCAGAATTCCCCAATCAGTATGCTTTAAGCTGGTTGGACTTCAACTCCCAGAATTCCCCAATCAGTATTTTTTAAGATTTACGGACTTCAACTCCCAGAATTCCACAATCATGCTTTAAGCTGGTTGGACTTCAACTCCCAGAATTCCGTAATCAGCATTTTTTTTAAAGACTTGTGGACTTCAACTCCCAGAATTCCACAATCATGCTTTAAGCTTTTTGACCAGCTGGCTGGGGAATTCTGGGAATTGAAGTCCCCCCCCCTATCTTAAAGTTGCCAAAGTGGAGAAACACTGCTTTTCTGGGGTCCATATTATTACACGACGATGGCCAGTTTGTTTAATCGCGGCTTGAATGTGGCTTAGGCCAGTAAACCCTAATTGAGGCAGGATCGCGGGATGTGAAGTCCCAAGAAAGTAAACCGAAGGCTGGCGCCACATCTGAATCAGGTCTCTTAAGTATCCAAGGGACGGTGTTTGTCTCCTTCCCACAGGTGACAATTTGGGAAGCGTTGACCAACAGCAAACCAGGCACTCTGCCGGTGTCCCAGGAAGGACGTAGAGTCTGCAGGTGAGTTTGTCTGCCGGCCTCACTTCCTCTTCCGGATTTGTCCATTTTACTTCCTCCTTCCGAACACCTGTCAACACCTGTCCTCTCTGTTTGCCCTCCCCAGGACACCCCAGCACACGCCGCCCCCGCGGCCCGCCGTCCCCCAGCAGCCACCCCCCCCAGCAGGCCGGGGTCCCGGGCTGCCCACTTACGCCGAGCAGCTGCGCCTGGCCATGGAGCTCTCCGCCAAAGAGCAAGAAGAAGCCGAGCGGCGTTCGCGCCAGGAGCAAGAAGAACTGGAACGGATCCTGCGCCTCTCCCTTACCGAACAATAGGGCCCCCCCTCACCCAGGGGGTCTTGGGCAGGGGCACGCACACACAGCTCCGGCCAGCGCCTGGGGGCCACCAGCCAGCACTAACGGACTGTGCCTTTCCCAGTTCTGGCTCTGCTCATGCACAAACCTGGGCACCACCAGGACGGAGCGAGTCGGGGCGTGGGGGGCACAGCCAGGAAGGGGGGGGGCTGGCAGGGGGTCCCGACACGTTTCCCCTCTCACAGCTGAGCCATTTAATTTGCCCCTCTTTGGATGGTGGTGGTGGGGTTAATCAGTCCGACGTCGGACACTGTCCGTCCGACTTTCCTCTCTGTTGCCCATTGTGGCCAAGAGGGGAGGGGTCTCCTTTCCCCTCTTCCTTTTTCCGGGTTGGGGGCTGCAAGGCTCTGAGTTCTCCTCCATTGGGGCAGCATCTCAGCCAAGTCTCCTCCTTCAGGGTGCAAAACCCCCAGAGGGCCACCAGAGGGTGCAAGCACACACACACCCCTGTCATCTGGGCTGCCCTCTAGTGGCCAGCTTGTTTTTTGCAACCCTAATTCGGGACTCCCGATTCTTAACCCGGGTGCAATCGGAGAACGGCGGGGAAGCTCATGAAGAGCTGTTTTGGGGGTGGGGTGGGGGTGGGAGCAAATTTGGAGCCTTAATACCTAATTGCCGGAAGGGGGGGTTGGACTAGAAGACCTCTGAGGTCCCTTTCAGTGCTGTTCCTGGTGGTTCTCGACTTAACAACAGTTCGTTTAGCGACCGTTTGACATTACGACAGCGCTGAAAAAAGTGACTTACGACTGGGTTGTTTTTTTTTTTCACACTTAGGACTGTGGGAAGCTGCAAAGGGCCGTAATTGTGTCCGATTGCCAAGGGTCATGTGATCACTTTGGGGGGGGGTCAGCCTTGTGAACTTCAGAACTGCGTCGTAAGTAGTTCATCCTAACCAGTCATAAGTTGAGGAATTCCCATACAGGTAGTTTGAAATTACGACGGTGCTGGAAAAAAGTAACTTACCGCCTGTCCTCACACTTACGATCACTGCTGTGTCCCCTGGCCACACGATCCAGGTTTAGGCACTTGCCAACTGGCCTGTACAGGTAGTCCTCAACTTAGGACCACCGTCGAGACCAACATTTCTGTGGTTAAGCAAGACCGTTATTGAGTTTTGCTCCATTTTACCCCCTTCCCTGACACCGTCGTTAAGTGAATCACTGCAGTTGTTAAGGTAGGAACACGGTTGTTAAGTGAATCCAACTCCCCCCCCGTGGACTTTGCTTGTTGGAAGGTCGCAAAAAGGGATCGCGTGACTTCGGGACGCTGAAACCGTCATCCATACCGGTCAGTTGCTAAGCGTCTGAGTTTGGATCACGTGACCAGGGGGATGCTGCAACAGTTGTGTGAAAAGCGGTCCGAAGTCAACTTTTTTCACTTCCGTCGTTAGCTCCGAACGGTCGCTAAACGAACGGCTGTATGCCGAGGACCGCCTGAATTGAATTCGGGAAATGCAAAGTGCAAAAAAAAAAAAAAGGAAAAAAAGGAGACTATAGTTAGTTAATCCTGGTTTAATTTAGCACAGAGCCCGGAGGGTGGATCTAGAAGCCTTGTTAATTTGGGGAGGAGCACGTTAAAAAAGTGGGCGGGGCTTGGTGCCCTCTTGGCCGCCATCTTGACTTTTTTGACCCACCCCGATTCAGACGTGCCCAGAAGCCCACCAGAACGTCTGTCTTTGCCGAGCACAAAAAAAAAGGGGAGCGGCGAAAAGCCACCCCGAGATGTTTGGGGAGCCCCACGACAGCATGTTGCCCCCCCCCTTCCCTGCACACCCAAGTTTTGCACCAGTTGCACCAAGTGCACTTAACCCCACCTGCTGCCTGCCAATCAGGTCTCCAATCGCCTTCTGGGCTTCCAGGTTCCTTTCGTGGTTGTGCCCCCCCTCCCAGCTGACCCCCAATAGTTGCAGGGCCATTTATGGGGTACCCAGGCTGGCATTGGGGAGGGGAGACTTTGGTGCAAGAGCAGGTGGGGCCAGGCCTCTTCAGGGTCAGGAGTGGGAGGGAGGTGGGGGGCACAGCATGGGGGGGCAACCCTGCACCCCTTTTTTCTGCCATCGCTCCCCTCCTGGCGTCTTGGGTGCTTCCCTTTCAGGGGTCCTGATAGCCCAGGATGGGGGCTCTCTTCCCATTTGGGGCCCCCTCCCCAATTGCCGGTGCCCCCTGCAAGGTCGTTACTATCCTGTTGTTCCATGGTGCTAACCTCTTGGGGGGTGGGATGGAGACCCCTCTGCCAGGGTAGGGGTGAGGATGGCGGGGGGGGAGGCGAGGAACAGCCTGTAGCCCCCCTCTTCCATTCCTCCCCGGGGGAGCCAGTGGGGGTCCTATGTTTTGGGTGGTGGGAGGGCCAGGGGGACTAAGGTGAAGCTGCTACAGCCATTACAAAAAGGGGAGGGGTCTTCCGGGCAACCCACACATCTGGGCGGAGGCAATGGAGACGCGCCTCCTGTGGGCCAGGTGTGTTTACCTGCACAGAAACACCAATAAAATACCTTAAGAACCCTTGCTTGTTTCTGCCTGTTTTTAGGGGGGGTGGGGTGGGGGTCAGCAGGCTGCACCTGGGGTTGGGAGGGGACCTCCCACTTCTTCCAGTATAGAGGTGGAAACCTGCCCCCCCCAAACCCCCAATTGTCTGAAATGGTATAGCGTCCAGCAGAAGGCTGGACTAGAAGACCTCCAAGGTCCCTTCCAGATTCTATTCTATTCTATTCTATTCTTCAATCCTTCTATTCTATTCTATTCTTCATTCCTTCTATTCTATTCTATTCTATTCTATATTCCTTCTATTCTATCTATTCTATTCTTCATTCATTCTATTCTATTCTATTCTATTCTTCATTCTTTCTATTCTATTCTTCACTCCTTCTATTCTTCATTCTATTCCTATTCCTATTCTGTTCTATTCTGTTCTATTCTATTCTTCATTCCTTCTATTCTATTCTATTCTATTCTATTCTATTCTATTCTATTCTATTCTATTCTATTCTATTCTATTCTTTGCAGCACCAGGAAGCTTCTCAAAGCTTTTTTTTTTAAAAAAAAAACCACAGGATTGCAATTCACCAGAGATCTGATAACACTAGATTTTCTCTCTGGTTCCTTTAGGAAAAAGAGATAAATCAGAAGGAATTGGGTAGCCCGGCTTCCAATTAAAATACTTCATTTAAAGTCATCAGGCCTTTGTGAGCTGCAGTGTCCTTTATCAGATGCAGACTGAATAGCCTGGTGCAGGATTTATATAACAGAATAACAGTTGGAATGGACCTTGGAGGTCATCTAGTCCGACCCCCTGCTCAGGCAGGAAACTCTATATCATTTCGGACAAATGGCTGCCCAGTCTCTTCTTAAAACCTTCCAGTGTTGGAGCATTCACCACTTCTGGAGGCAGGTGGTTCCACTGGTTAATTGTTCTCACTGTCAGGAAGTTTCTCCTTAGTTCTAGGTTGCTTCTCTCCTTGATGAGTTTCCATCCGTTGCTTCTTGTCCTGCCTTCAGGTGCTTTGGAGAATAGCTTGACTGCCTCTTCTTTGGGGCAGCTCCTGAGATACTGGAAGGCTGCTATCATGTCCCCCCTCATCCTTCTGTTCATTACTAGACAGACCCAATTCCAGCAACTGTTCTTGATTTACGACTGGTTGTTTAAGGACAATTCAAAGTTGCAACAGGATGTGTTGTTGCTGCGTTAAACGGAATGTTACATCCAATAAAGCATTTTCAGCCATCTTAAAACATCTCGGTTAATGACCACCTCACTCAACGACCGAGTGTCCAAACCTTGGAGACTATAAGACCTGTGGACTTCAAGTCCCAGAATTTCCCAGCCAGCTACACGATTCCCCTTTTGCGATCAAAGTTGGGGAAATGCATTCACTTTTAAGAACCGGGTGACTAATTTAACCACAGTGATTTCACAACTTGACAAGTAGGGCAAGAAAAAGTGTAAAATGGGGCAAAAATCATTGAACACCCGGTCATAAGTTGAGGATTATCTGCATTGCATATTTCATTCGATCCAGTGTAGAGTTTAGAACTGGGATATTTCAAGTTTGGCCATTTTAAGAGAGGTGGACTTCCACTCCCAGAATCCCCCAGCCAGCCTGCTTTAAGAGGGGCGAACTTCCACTCCCAGAATCCCCCAGCCAGCATGCTTTAAGAGGGGCGGACTTCCACTCCCAGAATCCCCCAGCCAGCATGCTTTAAGAGGGGAGGACTTCCATTCCCAGAATCCCCCAGCCAGCATTGCTGTGCATGGAGGGAGAACGCGACTGTCCTCTGAGGTTGCTAGTGGGTTCTCTCGAGGGCATCCAGCTGCTCCGGGTGCCCATTTCCTCACCACCCCACCGCAAAGAAAACAATTCGGAGCCAAGAAGTCTGATCAACCATTCGAAATATATATATATATATCTATATATATTTATCAGCATATGCAAATGAGCAATGGCCCTATTTTCTCTCCCCCCACCCCACCAGGGAGGCGGTCACTTTGCACTACAAGCCAGGGGGGGTGGAGGGGGGGGAGGCATTGCTGTAACCCACCATGCTTGTTCCTCCACCTCTAGCTGCACATCTGCGCCTGGCCCAGCTGCAAAACATCTGTACAATGTTCAGCAATTGAGATGGAAACAAGCAGGAAACCCCCCTCCTCAATACCTGCAGACGCCCCCCCCCGACCAGTGTTGCTGGGCCACAGGGTCCCCCTCCCCCCACTTCCAGCAGAGGCTGGAGACTCCTCTTGGCCCCCCATCCCCCAGTAAAACCAATCCCCCGCCAGCAGGGTCTGGCAGCCCACTTCTCTCTCCCTCCCTCCCTCTCCACAGACCCAGACCCAGACCCCTTTCTAATCCTGCAAATCTAAGGGTCCAACGTTTCCTCTGTCGCACGGCAAAACTCAACAACAACAAACCTGTGGCTCACCACAACCCCACCCCCTTCGCCCCATTCCTGGGGGAGGGGGGCTGAAGGGTGAGTTGGCATCACAGCCACCCTACCCCGCAACCCCCGCCCACCCCGAGCGTCCAGCAGTCCACGGAAGACCTTTTCTCTGAACCCTGCTTCCACCCCAAAATCAAGGTAGCCCGGAGTCAGGTTGGAGAGAAAGGGATGAGAGGAGAGCAGGGCCATTTCCCGCGGCGGGGAGCAGCTGCCCCTGCGAAATGCCCACTGAGCTGAGAAGAAGCGGATGGACGGGGGAGATGCTAGGTCTGTCTCCGGGATGGCAAAGTTCTGGGGGCGGAAGTGGGCTAGTCCGTCACGTCTGCGAGTTCGCAGAGAGTGTTTTCCAGGTCAGTGATGCGCTTCTCGTGATCTTGGATGGTCTGGCGCAGAGTGCGGGTTTCTTGCAAGAGGTCCTCGAGGGTGGAGGTCTGGGGGGGGTGAGCAAGAGAGAGGAGGAGGAGGGGAAGGGGAAGCAGGAGATGAAGAGAAGAAGGAGGAGAAGAAAAAGGAGAAAATGGAGGAAGAAGAGGAGGAGGAGAGGGAGAAAAAGAGGAGGAAGATGAGGCGAATGAAAAGGATAAGCAGAAAAGAAGAAAGAAAGGAGAAGGAGAGGAGGAGAAAGGAAAAAGGAGGAGGAGGAGGAAGGGGAAGGGGGAGGAGGAGGAGAATGAAAAGAAGGAAAGAAGACAAAAAGAAGAAAAAGCAAAAAAGGATGGAGGAGAATGAAAAGGAGGAGAGGAGAAGAAAGAAAGGGGAAGGAGAGAAGAAAGAGGAAAAATGAGGAGGAAGGGAAGAAGAGAACGAAAGGAGGAGAAAAAGGAAAGAAGAGAAGAAAAAGGAAAAAGGAGGAAGAAGGAGGAGGAGGAGGAGGAGGAGAAGAAAGGAGAAGGAGAGAAGAAAGGAAAAAAGAAGAGAAGGAGGAGGAAGGGGAGGAGGAAGAGGAGAATGAAAAGAAGGAGAGAAGAAAAAAAGAAAAAGGAAAAAGATGGAGGAAGGAGGAGGAGAATGGAAAGGAGAAGGAGAGGAGAAAAAGAAAGGAGGGAAGAATGGGGAAAATGAAGAGGAGGAGGAAGGGAAGAAGAGAATGAAAAGGAGAGAAGGAGAAGGAAGGAAAGAAGAGAAAAGGAGAGAAGGAGAAAGAAAGGAAAAGAGGAGAAAAAGGAAAAAGGAGGAGAAAGAGAGAAGAAAGAGGAAAGAGGAAAAAAGAAGAGGAGGAAAAAGGGAAGAGAGAAGAAAAATAAAGAGAAAGAGGCAAAGAAAAAAAGGAGAATGAGAAGAAAGGGGAAAAAGAGGAAGAGGAAGGGAAGAGGAGAATGAAAAGAAGGAGAGAAGAAAAAAAGAAAAAAGACGGAGGAAGAAGGAGAATGAAAAGGAGAAGGACAGGAGAAAAAATAAAGGAGGGAAGAATGGGGAGAATGAAGAGAAAGAGGAAAAAGGAGGCGAGAAGGAGAAAGAAAGGAGAAGAGGAGAAAAAGGAAAAAGGAGGAAAAAGAGAGGAGAAGAAAGGAGAAGGAGAGAAGGAAAAAAGAAGAGAAGGAGGAGGAAGAGGGGAAGAGAGGAGAAGAACGAAGAGAAAGAGAGGCAAAGAAAGAAAGAAGGAGAAAGAGAAGAAAAAGGAAAAAAGAGGAGGAGGAGGAGGAGGAGGAGGAGGAAGAGGAGGAGGTGTGTCAGTTAACGGAGGAGGAAGGGGCTGGGTTGATTCCCACAGACAAGGCCCACGATGTCTCCCTCCCTCTCTAACACACCCACACACCCACACCCACACAACCACACCCAAGAGGCTCAACCACTCACAGAAAAATTGGCGTCGCAGGCGGAGAGACCCCTGCGGGAGCCGGGCGGGGGCTTGCTGTCCAGGATGTTCTTCTTACTGACTTTGAGCTCGCGGTTCTTGAGGGGGACGTAGCCGTCACGGAGGGAGACCAGGAGGGGCTCCGCGTCTTTCCCGGCCAGCCATTCCTCCGCCTCCAGGGCCGGCTCGGGGCCAGGGGTGTCCGGGTACAAGTCATCCTGGAAGAGGTCCGACTGCCGAGAATGGGGAAAGGGGAGAGGTCAGCAAGGGGCAGGGGGCGGGGGGGCAGGACCCTCCCCCTCCCCCCAAAAGCCCTGGCCGCGTTTCCCCAGTCACCTCCCTCCCCACTCACCCCCAGCCTTCGGGGAGGGCTTGCTCTGCTTTCTAACTCGAACGAGTGAATCCGTGGATCAATGAACGAATCAACGGAAAAGCCGATGAAGCAATCAATGGACAATTAATAAACCAATAAAGTATTCGATGAAACAGTGGTTCAATGAACCAGTCGACAACAAATCAATGAATCGGTGAATCAGTTGAGAACAAATCAATCCATCCATCAATGAATTTCGAATAAATGAATGAATCATTCGAGAACAAATGAATGAATCAATTGAGAACAAATCAATCAACCAATCAATCCATTGAGAACAAATCGATGAATCAATTGAGAACAAATCAATCGAGAACAAATCAATCAATGAATTGAAAACAAATCAATGAATCAATCTTGAGAACAAATCAATGAATTGAGAACAAATCAATGAATCAATCGAGAACAAATCGATGAATCAATTGAGAACAAATCAATCGAGAACAAATCAATGAATCAATTGAGAACAAATCAATCAATTGAGAACAAATAAATCAATGAATCAATCAATTGAGAACAAATCAATGAATCAATCAAGAACAAATCAATCAATTGAGAACAAATCAATAAAGAACAAATCAATCAAACTCATTCAATGAAATCAGAACAAATGAATGAATCAATAGAGAACAAATCAATGAATCAGTCAATGAAATGAGAATTGATTAATAACAATAATAATAATAATAAAAAAGTTGGGAGGTCCCTTCCTACTTTACTATTATTCAATCAGTGAATGATGGCCAAATCAAACAGGGGGACTAATCCTTTTGATTTTGATGGAAGGGACTTCGGAGGTCTTCTAGTCTGACCCCCTGCTGAAGCAGGAGACCCTACCTACACCGTTCCAGACAAGTGACTATCCAGTTTCTTCTTAAAAGCCTCCAGCGATGGAGCACCCACAGCTTCTGGAGGCAAGCCCTCCCACTGATTAACAGAGTAACAGAAGTGGAAGGGACCTCGAAGGTCATCTAGTCCAACCCCCTGCTCAAGCAGGAGACTCTACCTACACCGTTCCAGACCAATTCATTAAAGGCTCACCTTTCGTGGTACAGTCATAACAATGGGCTCACATTTCCGTTCGTGCAACTTGTAAAACCTGCGGGGGGGGGGGTAGAGAGAAGAATGTGGGTCTGACATGGGGTTGGGGGCTGGGGGTTTGCACAGGCGTGAGACGAAGGCCTCCCACCCCCCCACACACACCAACCCCCATCTCTTTCCCCCCCTCCCTCTCATAATCCCCTCCCTGCTTCTGAAGCGCTTGGATCCAGTTTGTTCCAAGCAGGAGTGGGATGGAAACCATTTCTTGAAAGAAAGGGGTGTTTTTTTGACCCCCCACCCTAAAAAATTTCTTTTAAAGTCATACAATCTCCCCCTCCCCCTCACTCACTGACCACCACCACCACTACCCCGTTTGGGGTTTCTGTCCTCTTCGCGTCAATCTCGCCCCATGGTTCTCAACCCGGACCACTTTAAGACGTGTGTGGACTTCAAACGACTTCACGTCACAACCGCTTTACTTAGCGCCATGGAAGTGGCGGTGTCAATAGTGGCCATAAGTCAAGGACTTGTGCATCGTCACGAGATCATCCCGAAGAGGCAGCTGGATTTCCTTCTTTTTCCTTTGAAGAGCTTTCTCTTCTCATCCCAGAAGCTTCTTCAGCTCTAACTGGATGGAGTGGAAAAGGAGGATTTATACTCCTTGCAGACAGCTGGTCATTTGCCTTCTTTTAGAGAGCTGTTGAGGCCACTTGGAGGTTACCTAAGGTCATCTGAGGGTGCAAATGGGTGTGGAGGCTTCTTGGCTGCAAAATGTTTTCTGCCCTGGGTCCCTCCGGTAGCCGAGAAGGCTCCACACCCATTTGTACCACTGAAGTGGCTTTAAGGACACAGATAAGCCTCCAAGTGGCCTCAACGACCCTCTAAAAGGATGCAAATGACCAGCTGACTGCAAGGAGTATAAATCCTTCCGTTCCCTTTGAAGACGTTTCCCTTCTCATCCAAGAAGCATCTTCGGCTCTGATTGGATGGTATGGAACGGAAGGATTTATACTCCTTGCAGACAGCTAGTCATTTGCCTTCTTTTAGAGAGTCATTGAGGCCACCTGGAGGTTTTACCTGTGTCCTCGGGGTCACCTGAGTGGTGCAAATGGGTGTGGAATACCTTTCAGCAGTTCCAAGAAGGCTCCACACCCATTTGCACCACTCAGGTGACCCTGAGGACAGACAAACCTCCAAGTGGCCTCAAGGATTCTCTAGAAGGATGCAAATGACCGGAGGTCTGCAAGGAGTACAAATCCTTCCATTCCCCTTGAAGACGTTTCTCTTCTCATCCCAGAAGCTTCTTCAGCTCTGATTGGATGGTGAGAAATGGATTTATACTCCTTGCAGACAGCTGGTCATTTGCCTCCTTTTAGATAGTCATTGAGGCCACTTGGAGGTTTTACCTGTGTACTTGGGGTCCCCTGAGTGGTGCAAATGGGTGTGGAGTTCCTTTCAGCAGTTCCAAGAAGGCTCTACAAACATCTGCGCTTCTGAGGTGACCCTGACGACACAGGCAAGCCTCCAAGTGGCCTCAACGACACTCTAAAAGAATGCAAATGACCAGCTGCCTACAAGGAGTATAAATCCTCCCATTCCCCACCAGCCAGTCAGAGCCGAAGAAGCTTCCGGGATGGGAAGCGAAACGTCTTCCAAGGAAAAAGAAGGAAGTCCAGCGGCCTGTTGGCGAAAGCCCCTTTGGGACGACGACCCTGACCCGGAGGACAGAGAATCCCCCGCGGATGTTATCACAGGAGCTCTGCCCCCCCCTGCCCCCCCGCTTGGATTTCGGACCCTCTGCACCCGGAGCCTCACCTGGCGATTTCGCACTTGCTGACGTCCAGCCCCCGTTTGGGCATGAAGCCCATCCCCCGCTGGGGCTCCTTGCTGCTGTAGGTGCTCAGGTAGTGGACGTAAGGCGCCTCGTCCGTGATCTCGAAGTAGCGGATGCTGCTGTCCCCCTGCGGGCAAGGAGGCCGGGGTCTCAGTCCGGGGCCCCCCACCCCTCCTGGCTCTCTGCCCCCAGAGGGAGGGGGGAAAGTTCCTCCCAAGCCAATGTTGGCTTTTTTTAAAAAAAAAAAATCAGCCATATTGCGAATATCTTCCCTTTCTCCCTCCCTCCAATCCCCCTCTACTTCCTTCCTTCTATCCTTCCTCCCTTTCTCCCTCTCCTTCCTTCTATCCTCCTTCCCTCCCTTTCTCCCTCCCTCCTTTCCTCTCCTTTCTTCTCTCCTCCGTCTTTCTCCCTCCCTCCTCCCCTCTCTCCTTTTATCCTTCCTCCCTCCCATCCACCTCCCTTTTTCCTTCCTTCCTTCTATCCTCCCTCCCTCCTTCCTTCCTTCCACCGCCCTCCCTCCCTCCATCCTCCCTCCCACCATTTCCTTCCTTCCTTCTTCCCATCCACCTTCCTCCCTGCCCTTTCTCCCTCCCTCCTTCCTTCCTTTCTCCCATCCATCTCTCTTCCTCCCTTTCATCACTTCCTTCAGAAATAGCCGAATGTTTTTGTCCCCTGTGCGTTTCAAGAAACACACAGCGTTCCAGGAACGGCGCTGATTTCCGTTGTGTGTTGTTGTTGTGGTGGTGGTCAAAGTGACACAGGTTCCACCCAGAACTCAGCTCTTGAGGGGTGGTTAAGAAAGGAAAAGTAGCAGAGGACGGAGGAGGAAAACACCGACCTTCGGCGCCAAGATTTAAAAGTATGCCGAGGTGGCGCAGCAGTTAGGGTGCAGTACTGCAGGCCACTTTAGCTGACTGTGTTCAGCAGGTCAGCGGTTCGAATCTCACCGGCTCCAGGTTGACTCAGCCTTCCATCCTTCCGGGGTAGGTAAAATGAGGACCCAGATTGTTGGGGGCAACGTAAATATATATATATATATATACATTGCTTACTGGTGTACACCGCTTAGAGAGTGCTTGCACTTAAAGCGGTATATAAGTCTCATAAATAAATAAATAATAAATAAATGCAGGAGGGGTTGGCTGGAGAGGGGAACTGGCAGGGGGGGGGTCTGGCTATCCCCCTCCCCAAATCCCTGGGGGGGGGAAGTTACTGTCCTCCCCTGTTTACCTACCTTTCCACACAGGTAGACTATGCTGGAATCGGGGTCGTAAAAGGGCAGGAGAACGCCGTTGCTGGTATCCATCTCCTGCAGGGCAATGGGCTCTTCAAAGTTCTTCTGCAAAAGCAGGAAAGCAGTCAGGAACCCCCCACACACACACACCGGGACACTCCAAAACCCATGTGCACACAGTTGGGGGAGGACCCAGGCTGACCCCCCCTCCCACCTCCAGCCCATCCCCCTAATTCCAACCCCTGGATTCGTCCGTCATGATGATGTCAGTTGTAACCCAAACCCTCCCGAAGAGCCACAGCCTTGGGCTATGCCGAGTGACGGAACCGAGGGAGTCCCCCAGAGGACATCTAGTCTGACCTCTCCCTAAGCTCCCTCCTCTTCGCCTCATGCATTCTAACCGCCTCTCCCCCCTCAGCCGAGCTGCAGTGCCCCATGGGCTACGCACTAGAGGTGGCACTTTGTACCGTGGCACTTTGAAGACACGTGGACTTCAACTCCCAGAGTTCCCTGGCCAGCCAGAGGAATTCTGGGAGTTGAAGTCCACAGGTCTTAAAGTAGCAAAAGTTGAAGACCCCCTTGGCTGCACAGACTAGATCAGGGGTCTTCCAACTTGGCCCTTTTCTAACTTGTGGACTTCAACTCCCAGAATTCCCCAGCCAGCGTGCCTGGCTGAGGAATTCTGGGAGTTGAAGTCCACAAGTCCTCAAAGGGCCAAGTTGGAAGACCCATGCTTGTGGACTTCAACTCCCAAAATCCCTCAGCCAGCATGCCCGGCTGAGGAATTCTGGGAGTTGAAGTCCACAAGTCAGAAAATTGCCAAGTTTGAAGACTCCTGCTTGTGGCCTTCAACTCCCAGAATCCCTCAGCCAGCATGCCCGGCTGAGGAATTCTGGGAGTTGAAGTCCACAAGTCACAAGTTGGAAGACCTCTGGACTACATAGTCCGTTCCTAGACCCCCCCCCACCTATTTTAGAATGCCCCCATCCTCTTTTTTGCAGCCCCCTGCCCAGGAACACAGCACACCCCCATGCATCCTTCCATCCTCCCCCCACCCCACAAATCCACAGCAATTGGACTCTGGGAACTGGGCATTGTCCAGGGATGGACCGAGCAGTCAGAACTGGAAAGTCAAATCAACTTGAAGTCCGAGCCTTGGTGACTTCTTCAACTTCCCAGTTCAGCTTTTTGGCCCTGGGATCACCTGGTGGCCTCCCATCCAAATGTTAACTGCAGAAGTCTGTGGAGTCAAGGTGGGCGAGGTGGTGCCCTCTGGTGGGCAATCAGAATCCTGCGGTCATTAAGTGACTGGCATCCTTGTCAGAAGGTTGCAAAAGGGGGTCACGTGACCCCTCAGGGGACACGACGACCGTCATAAATACGAGTCAGTTGCCAAGCTTGTCTGAATTTTGTTCACGTGACCCTGGGGATGCCGTGACGGTCGCTAAGTGTGAAAAAACGTGGCGTCGCTTTTTTCAGTGCTGTTGCAACGATGAACCGTCACTAAACAAAGCGTCGTAAGACGAGGACTGCCTGTCCTTCTTTTAATTTACTGAGCTCAATTTGACGCTCGGTTTCAATATCTTTGCAGGGCTGACTTTCGTGAGTGTGGGAGATGCGTGTGTGTGTGTGTGTGTGTGTGTGTGTGTGTGTGTTTGTATAAATTTGATGACCAATTTCAGGAGCCTTTGCAGCACTGACTTCTATGTGTGAGTGTGTAAATTTGTGTGTATGTAAATCTGTGGCTCAGCTTTAGTATTTTTGCATCACTGACTTCCATGGGGATCTGTGTGTGTGTGTCTGCTTGTGTGTGTAAATTCGATGCTCAGTATATGATCTTTGTAGCATAGACTTCCGTGGGGATTTGTTGGTGTGTGTGTGTGTGTGTGTGTTCTGTTAATTTTGTCTATGTGTAAAAATTTATGCCTCAGGATCTTTCTAGGACTGACTTTCATGGGGATCTGTTTGTGTCTGTGTGCTTGTGTCTGTTTGTGTGTGCAAATTCGATGCTCAGTCTCAGGATCTTTGTGGGACAGACTTCCATGGTGTTCTGTTTGTGTGTGTCTGGGTGTAAATTTGTGTGGCAGTTTCATGCTCAGTCTCATGAACTCTGAAGCGCAGACTTCCATGGGGATCTGCTGCGTGTAAAATTGTGTGCAAATTCAATGCTTCGTCTCACGATCTTTGTAGCTCAGACTTCCATGGGGATCTGTTTGTGTGTGTCTGTGCGTAAATTTAGGTGTAAGTTGCAGTCTCACGATCTTTGTAGCAGACCTCCACGAGGATCTCTTTGTATGTCTGTGTGTAAATCTGTGTGTAAGTTCGATGCACAGTCTCATGATCTTTGTAGCAGACTTCTATAGGGATCTCTTTGTGTGTCTCTGTGTGTAAGTTTGATACTCAGTCTCATGATCTTTGCAGTACTGGCTTTCATGGCGTGTGCATGTACGTGCATGCGTGTTTTGGACTTGGGGCATGTGGGAACGCCCACCCTCGCTCCTGTCTGTGGGCACCCATCCTCCTGCGACGTCCCTTGGCCTGCCCCCCAGAAACAGAAGGGGGAGCTGGGCAGGGCAATGCCCGGGTTCCCAGATGGAGGTCCGGGAGGGGGGTCCACACCATGCAGCCCGACTACCGGGTCCCAGAGTCCAAACTCCCGCTGGCTCATGCGGGTGAACCCTGTAGTGAAGATCTGTCCCTCGCGGGTAAAGATGGCGCGCATGGGCCGCATCCCTTCGTGGGCCGCCAATCTCTCCTGGCAGACGGGAAAGAGAGCATTACGGCCCCGCCGGGGCACAGAGAAGCTGGCTGGCCAGAAGGGTGAGGCAACTGTGGCAACTTTATGATTTGTGGATTTCAACTCCCAGAATTCCTGAGCCAGTCATGCTCGAGCAGAAATTCTGGGAGTTGAAGTCCACTATCTTAAAGCATGCTAGGTGGGGGATTCTGGGAGTGGAAGTCCACCTATCTTAAGGCATGCTAGGTGGGGGATTCTGGGAATTGAAGTCCACCTATCTTAAAGCATGCTGGGTGGGGGATTCTGGGAGTTGGTCCACCTATCTTAAAGCATGCTGGGTGGGGGATTGGGAGTTGAAGTCCACCTATCTTAAAGCATGTCGGCTGGGGAATTCTGGGAATGGAATAGTATTTGCTAGCTCTGTTTTTACTGTAATGTAAGCTGCCCAGAGTTGCTTTGGACAACAAAACGGGCAGTACGTCAAATTTAAGAAGTACCATGAAGTCAAATAAAACAATAAAATATAAGATGAAAATATATATATATAATATAATATAAAATAAATAAGATATAAAAAATAACAATAAAATGAAACAAATAGAGTAAATAAAACATATAAACAAAATAATGCAATGAAATAGAAAACAAACTACACAATAAAATGACATGAAACATCCAATAACCCAATAAATAAAACGCAACATAAAACCGTAAAGCAAAATGTAAAACAGAACAAGAAATTAAATTATAAAATAAAACGTAATAAAATAACAAAACCATAAAACAAAATAAAATAAAACATAATTAAAAAATAAACCATCACGTAAAAGGAGAGATGCCCTGGCTATTTTTGCAATTCTATTTTCTGTAGGTTGAGCAAACAGCTTGACCTCCCCCCTACACCTAGAATTCAGGGGGGGGGTCACCCCAATAAGAAGGGACTGGACAGCCATTTGTCTGAAATGGTAGGGTTTCCTGCCTGAGCAGGGGGTTGGACTAGATGACCTCCAAGGTCCCTTCCAACTTTATTATTACTATTATTATAATCCTCCCTGGAGGCTGGAGCGTGTCCCCCTTTGCTTTCGCCCACTTTCCTGCTCCTCTTCTCCTCCTGTGGAGTCAAAGGTCAAGATATCCTCGTGTAGCCCCCCCCCATGCACCCCTTCTTCTCCACCTCTCCCGGACCCCAGGCATGGGCTGCCCCAGTGGATGCCGTCCGTCCGTACCAAGTCCCAGAGGGCCAGCTGACGCTCGCTCATCTTGCTGAAGCCGGTGGTGAAGACGCGGCCATCGGCCAGAAAGATGGCCCGGACGGGGCGGGCCCCCTCATGGGGCTTGAGGGTTTCCTGGGGGCAACGGTTAGTGGGTTAGATCACACAAACACGGCAACCACAAAGCGTTCGTACGGTGTTTCTCAACCTCGTCCACTTTAAGACGGGTGGACTTCAACTCCCAGAATTCCCCCTGGCTGGCTGGGGAATCCCGGGAGTTGAAGTCCACAGGTCTTAAAACACGCGTCTCCCATCTTGGCCCTTTTATGACTTGTGGACTTCAACTCCCAGAATTCCTCAGCCAGCGTGGCTGGCTGAGGAATTCTGGGAGTTGAAGTCCACAAGTCATAAAAGGGCCAAGATGGAAGGCCTCTGCTTGTGGACTTTGACTCCCAGAATTCCTCAGCCAGTGTGCCTGGCTGAGGAATTCTGGGAGTTGAAGTCCACAAGTCATAAAAGGGCCAAGTTGGAAGGCCCCTGCTTGTGGACTTTGACTCCCAGAATTCTTCAGCTAGGCACGCTGGCTGAGGAATTCTGGGAGTTGAAGTCCACAAGTCATAAAAAGGCCAATGTTGGACATCTCTAGTGTAGCCCATGGGGCACTGCAGCTCAGCTGAGGGTGAGAGGTGGTTAGGACACCTGAGGCGAAGAGGAAGAAGATTATGGAGAGGTCAGACTAGATGTCCTCTGAGGGATCCCTCGGTTCCATTACTCGGGATAGCCAAAGGATGTGGCCCTTCGGGAGGGTTTGGGTTACAACTGGCATCATCATGGATGAATCCAGGGGTTGGAATTGGGGGGTGGGCAGGCTGGAAGGGGGGGGTCAGCCTGGGTCCTTCCCCAGCAGTGTGCACATGGGTCTTGGAGTGGCTGGGGGGACGGGTCCTGACTCTTTTCTGAGTCTTTCCAGAAGAACTGCAGGAGATGGGCATCAGCAACGGGGTTCTCCTGCCCTTTTAAGACCCTGATTCCAGCATAGTCTACCTTTGTGGTAGACTAGGAATTCTGGGAGTTGAAGTCCACCCGTCTTAAAGTGGACGAGGTTGAGAAACACCGCAGATTAAACCATTTAGTAGAGGTCAGTCCACCGCAAAGCACCCCAAAAGGAAGCGGACCCCCCTTTAATGGGACGGACCCCTATAGGTGCCTGCCAGGTGCTTCCCCAGTGGGATTGAAGCTCCTGTCCACCTGGGACAACGGGAGCAGCCATGCAGATGGGGAAGATGGGAATTGTAGTCTGATGCATTTAAGCTCAGAAGATCAGGACTGGATTCAACCAAGCCGGGGTTGAGCACAGCTTGGTTTTTATTCCTGAAAGTTAGGTTATTTCTCTGCCGATTCGGATAGTGGCACCCGAATTTATTGTTGAATTTAGCACGTCTGGCAGGGATGGTTACAGGCTGGGAGTCAAAAAAGCAAGATGGCGGCTGCAACCAAGCTAGGGGACCCCCCCCTCCCCTTTTCTTTGAGGGAGTTCTTGCACGGATATAGTGTGTCGTTTGGGTCGCCATCTTGACTTTTCTGACCTCCGAGAGAAGTCTGGACTATCCATTTAATCCCATCACCGGCAAATTAAGATCAAACTAGGATCAAACTAAGCCAGCACAGTCACCAGGATCAGTAAAAGGCAGAACTCTCCACCCAAGCTGGGAGAATGAGGTTAACTGAAGAGCTTGAGAGAGTGAGTAGATTTGAATTCCCATCATTGCCCAGCAGTTGCAGCACCTTTATTTCTAAATGTTATTTGGGAAATCAGAGAGTTGGCTTGGAGTATCCATACAGAAGAAGGTGGGGGATTCTGGGAATGGAAACCCACCCCTCTTAAAGCATGCTGGCTGGGGGATTCTGGGAGTGGAAGTCCACCCCTCTTAAAGCAGGCTGGCTGGGGGATTCTGGGAATGGAAGTCCACCCTCTTAATGCAGGCTGGAAGGGGGATTCTGGGAGTTGAAGTCCACCCCTCTTAAAGCAGGCTGGCTGGGGAATTCTGGGAGCGGAAGTCAACCCCTCTTAAAGCAGGCTGGCTGGGGAATTCTGGGAGTGGAAGCCCACCCCTCTTAAAGCAGGCTGGCTGGGGAATTCTGGGAGTGGAAGCCCACCCCTCTTAAAGCAGGCTGGCTTGGGAATTCTGGGAGTGGAAGTCCTCTCCTCTTAAAGCAGGCTGGCTGGGGAATTCTGGGAGTGGAAGCCCACCCCTCTTAAAGCAGGCTGGCTGGGGAATTCTGGGAGTGGAAGCCCACCCCTCTTAAAGCAGGCTGGCTGGGGGATTCTGGGAGTGGATGCCCACCCCTCTTAAAGCAGGCTGGCTGGGGGATTCTGGGAGTGGATGCCCTCTCCTCTTAAAGCAGGCTGGCTGGGGGATTCTGGGAGTGGATGCCCACCCCTCTTAAAGCAGGCTGGCTGGGGGATTCTGGGAGTGGATGCCCTCTCCTCTTAAAGCAGGCTGGCTGGGGAATTCTGGGAGTGGAAATCCACCCCTCTTAAAGCATGCAAGCTGGGGGATTCTGGGAGTGGAAGTCCATCCCTTTTAAGTTGGAAACGCTGGTCTGAACCATCCAGAGGATGCCAAACGAAGGAAGAAAAACTTGCATCTACCCCACATGCTGGGAGGGTAGGTAAGGCAGTCCCCCCCCCACCCCTCGGTCGGTCCGACTCACAGCTACAACCAGGTGCTGCCGGGGGTCGATGATGCGCAGGTGCTTGTCCTTGCAAGTGGTGACAATCTGGCTCCCGTTGCGATTCCAGCACACATTGTAAATGACGTCCGTGTGCAGGTCGTCCAGCGTGAGCAGCGCTTCACCGGTGCCCACGTTCCAGAGAATAATCACGTTGTCCCCTCCTGATCCAGAGAGGGCGTCAGGACACTGTCAAAGGACCCAGACCCCCCCGACCTCCCCCTTCACCATTTCAGGTAGTCCTCAACTTACGGCCACAATTGAACCCGACGTTTCTGACACTAAGCAAAACTGTTAAGTGAATTTCGCCCCATTTTGTCACCTTCCTTGCTACACCACAAGTGAATCCCTGCAGTTTTTAAGTTAGTAACACGGTCGTTAAGCAAATCTGCCTCCCCCCCTCCCCATTGACTTTGTCAGAAGGTTGCAAAAGAGGATCACGTGACCCCCCCCGGGACTGTCATAAAGACGAGTCAGTTGCCAAGCATGGGAATTTGGATCACGTGACCTACGGGGATGTTGCAACGTCCGTGGGAAAAATGATCCTACGTTGCTTTTTTTCAGTGCCGTTGTAACCTGAATGGTCGCTAAACAAAACGGTTGTAAGCTGAGCCCTGCCTGTAATTTTGCCTCATTGCTACGACTGGAACAGTGTGCCTTCCTGTTGTGAGTTTAGTGTGTATTTTAATTTTAGTGCGTATAGTTATATTAAGACAGCCATTTGTCCGAAATGGTCTAGGGTTTCCTGCCTGGGCAGGGGGTTGGACTAGATGACCTCCAAGGTCCCTTCCAATATTATTATTATTGGTGCTTTTTCATATTTTGGTGTGCTAAGCCACCCAGAGACACTTCAAAACCAGATGGGCAGCAGGTAAATTTTGTAACAATAATAATAATAAGAAAGGCTGGCGATTTAGCGATGCCAAGCTGATAGCTCCCCACCCTGAATTATAAGAAAGGGGGTGTCAAGGCAGCGTCCACTTTCCCTGGACGAAGGGGAGATTGCTTCGGCTCTCAGAGTAACCAAATAATAATAATAATAAGAAGAAGAATAAGAATAAGAATAGAAGAGAAAGAACTGGAGAAGATAACAAAATACAAAGACCTACAAATAGAAATAGAAAGACTGTGGCAAAAGCAAGCAAGGGTAGTACCAATAGTCATAGGCTCCTTGGGCGCAATCCCAAAACAACTGGAGCACCACTTGAACACCATTGGCATTGACAAATTTGCTATTAGTCAATTGCCAAAGGCGGCCTTATTAGGAACTGCTTCCATCCTGCGACGATACCTGTAATACCATCAAACATCCACATCTGCCTATCCCAGGTCCTGGGTAAGGACTCGATAGGTAGACAAAATGCCAAATCCAGTCTGAACATCTGGCTGACTGTGCGATGATGACAATAATAATAATAATAATAATAATAATAATAATAATAATAATAATAATAATAATAAGAAGAAGAAGAAGAAGAAGAAGAAGAAGAAGAAGAAGAAGAAGAAGAAGAAGAAGAAGAAGAAGAAGAAGAAGAAGAAGAAGAAGAAGAAGAAGAAGAAGAAGAAGAAGTTGGAAGGGACCTTGGAGGTCATCTAGTCCAACCCCCTGCTCAGGCAGGAAACCCTATATCATTTCAAACAAATGGTTGTCCAATCTCTTATTAAAAACTTCCAGTGTTGGAACATCCATAATTTCTGGAGGCAAGTAGTTCCACTGATTAATTGTTCTAACTATTTAATGTTTAATTAAAGACTGGAGGCCTTTGAACTCTGGTGGTGGAGAAGACTCCTGCAAGTCCCCTGGACTGCAAGGCGATCCAACCGGTCAGTCCTGGAGGAGATCAACCCCGACTGCTCTTTAGAAGGCCAGATCCTGAAGTTGAAACTCAAGTCCTTTGGCCACCTAAGGAGAAGGAAGGACTCACTGGAGAAGAGCCTGATGCTGGGAAAGATGGAGGGCAAGAGAAGAAGGGGACAACGGAGAATGAGGTGGCTGGATGGATGGAGTCCCTGAAGCAGGAGGCGTGAGCTTAGATAGACTCCAGAAGACGGTAGAGGACAGGAAGGCCTGGAGGAACGTTGTCCATGGAGTCGCGATGGGTCGGACACGACTTCGCAACTAACAACAACATCTTCAAGTGGTCAAGGTCGAGAAATTTTGGTCTATGGATGGGTGCTCCATCATTGAGGTTTCTCAAGAAGGGATCAGACAGACAGCCTTTGGTCTAGAATGATATAAGATCTCCTGCTTGAGCAGGGGGTTGGACTAGATGACCTCCAAGGTCCCTTCCAGCTCCATTATTATGTATTCTGATTATCTTTTAAGATCCTATCCAGGTCAGATCTTGAAAGCTTTATTATGGGCTTTATGATGCTGTATTTACCTCTTGCCCATTAGTCGGGATATAATTTTGTAGGGTTTTTTTTTTCCTTTTGCGGTGTATTGTGTGTTTGTGTTGTCCAGTGCCAAGAATCACCCTGTCTGAGTCGAGCAGCCTTATAAATCTTGAATCCACCCATCCAATAAAAATTAAAAATAGATAGAGCAGAATAAACGACTGCAATTTTTCTAAGTTGGGAAAGGAAGAAGAAAGCCTGGCTAAATTAACCTGGGAAGACTCAGACAATCTTTTTCCTTTAAAGGAAAGAGTTAAGATTCTAGTCCCTGTGGAATTCCAGTGGGGGACTCCCACAGCCATTCCTGATGATCGCTTCCAAGGAAAAAACATTCAGCTTCCCACCTACATAGGCCATGTAGATTAGTATTTCTCAACAAAACAACTCTAAGATGGGTGGACTTCAACTCCCAGCTTTGGAATCCGGTTGAGGAATTCTGGGAGTTGAAGTCCACCCATATTTCAGTTGTCCAAGTTGAGAAACGCCAGCCTAGACCAGTGGTTCTCAACCTTTTTAATGCCGCGACCCCCAACCGGTCATAAGTCGAGGACTACTCAACCGGTCGTAAGTTGAGGACTACTCAACTGTCGCAGCACCGTTTGCAGAATGGGACTTTTGGCGGGCTCAGCAGGGCAGAGACAGCCTGGACAATTCCTATTGGCTTTGGAAAGCCAGTAGAATTAGACTCTATTCAAGAGAGTCTATGCTATTGGCTTTCGAAAGCCAGTGGAATAAAAGGGAGTAGCACAGCCATGGAAAAGGGGGAAAAAATGGCAGACTGCGTTGTTTGGCGACCCCCGTAAAATGGTCGTTCGACCCCAAATGGGGTCCCGACCCACAGGTTGAGAACCACTGGCCTAGACCATTCTTCATGTGTGGACTTCAACTTCCCAGTATCCTTTGCAATAACTATGCTGGCTGGGGAATTCTGGGAGTTGAATTCTACACATCTGAAGAGTTGCTGAGGTTGAGAAACGCTCACTTCCCGTGAGGAACTGCATCCCCACGGAGGTTCCCAGGGTGGGTGGAGAGGGTCTTACCTGCGCTGAGTAAGACATTGCGGGCCGTGGGGTGCCAGGTTAGGATGCCCACCCGCTTGGAATGCCCTTCCAGGGTCACCACCGGCTCCGTCAGGTTACGCATGGGCAGGAAATCCGGAATCTGCCAGACCTGGAGGGAGAGGAAACGGTTTTTGGGTCAAGCGAGAACTTGGCTAAAAGTCGCAAAAAACTCACCAAGGAGAGAAGCAACCTGGAACTAAGAAATGGTGTAGGGTTTCCTGCCTGAGCAGGGGGTTGGACTAGATGACCTCCAAGGACCCTTCCAACTTTACCACTATTATATTATATTATATTAACTAAGGAGAAACTTCCTGACAGTTAGAACAATTAACCAGTGGAACAACCTGCCTCCAGAAGCTGTGAATGCTCAAACACTGAAAGTATTTAAGAAGAGACTGGACAGCCATTTGTCCGAAATGGTATAGGGTTTCCTGCCTGAGCAGGGGGTTGGACTAGATGACCTCCAAGGTCCCTTCCAACTTTATTATTATTATTATTAACAACCTGCCTCCAAAAGTTGTGAATGCTCCAACACTGGAGGTTTTTAAGAAGAGACTGGACAGCCCTTTGTCCGAAATGGTATAGGGTTTCCTGCCTGAGCAGGGGGTTGGACTAGATGACCTTCAAGATCCCTTCCAACGATTATTATTATTGTTATGGTTATTATTATTATATAATATATTAAAATATAAAATAAAATAAAATAATAAAAAATAAAATCAAATAAAAAATATATAATATAATAAAATCAAATATAAAATAAAATAAATAAAATTAAATACAATAATAAAATAAATAAAATCAAATAATAAAAAATAAAATCAAATAAATAAAATATATAATATAATATAACATCAAATAAATACAATACAATACAATAAATACAATACAATACAATAAATAAAATCAAATACAATAATAAAATAAAATAAATAAAATCAAATAATAAAAAATAAAATCAAATAAATAAAATATATAATATAATATAAAATCAAATAAATACAATACAATCCAATACAATAAATAAAATAAAATACAATAATAAAATAAAATAAAATAATAAAAAATCAAATAAATAAAATATATAATATAATATAAAATCAAATAAATACAATACAATACAATACAATAAATAAAATAAAATAAATAAAATAAAATAATAAAAAATAAATAAAATAAAATAAAATAAACCACCAACAACTGTTAAAAAAATAATCCACAGGCAGCAGAAAACTTCCACCCCTTGAATAGGCCTTCCTGAAGGCCAGCAGTAAAATGATTAACCCACTTTCCTGAGGCAGGGAGTTCCAAAGTCAAAGGAATTCTTTTCTGCTCTCTTAACCCAGGGCCTCATCCCCCCCCCCCAAACATTTCTTTGACAGATTTCTCCCCCCTGCCCATAGCACAATCTTTGCCCACCCCAGGAAGCTTGATAAGTTTCTTCTGTTAAGATGCCACAGAAGCGTCAAGATGAGCCCCACGCCGAGTGCCACGTCAAGGCTGGTCTGTGTCCAACCCGTAGACTGGAAACCAGAGATCTTTTTGTTGGGTATTTTAAACAGAAAATATAGTAAAGAAATAGGGTACTTAATTTTACATATAATAACGGCGGCAAGAATAGCATATGCACAGTGCTGGAAAAATGAGAATATACCATCAGAGGAAGAAGTAATAAGGAAAATCCTGGACTGTGCTGAGTTGGACAAATTAACAAAAGAGATAAAAGAAAAGGAAGACACAGAGTATTACATGGAACAAGTTGTATGTCTGGTTGGAGACTAGAAATAATAGAGGAGAATAAATATGGAAAGGTCAAAAGTGAAAACTTGTGTGTGATAATGTATAATAATAATAATAATATGAATTATTCTTAGTAAGAAGTAGAACATGAAGGAAGAAAAATGTAAATAAGAAATAACGGGGCAATAAGGACAAATATTCTAAAGAAGAATAAGGGGGGAAATGTAAATAATAGATTACCGTTACGCAATTGCTGTAAAAAAAAAAAGGAGGAGTATATATTGTGTGTCTATGTGTGTTATGTTTTGCTTTGTTTTGTTCTGTTGGTTAAAAATAAAAAATTAAAAAAAAAGGCTGGTCTGTGCAACCTTAGGAACGTAGCTACTCTTTGCTTATCCCTTTTGCTACAATCCTGGGATCACTTGGTGGCCTCCGCTCCAATCCACCTGGTTCTGCTTAGCTTATCCGGAGTTAGCAGGGTGAGGCCATCTGCATCACATGCAGATAAAAATAGAAATATATCAGCAGCTGTTTGGATTTTTTTTCCCCACCTTTTCTTCACACCTGGAGTTGCAAAACAGACTGTACCTCTGAGACTCTTCTGCCTCAATTAAAAAAAAAAATACTTAATCTTTTTTAAACATTTGATCTTGGCCCTCTTGCTTATTTGCCAGGGAGAAACGGCTGAAAGAGAGCTGCAGCACAGCTGGAGACTTGAACTCGGGTTTCAGGGGGTGGGGCAGGCCTCGGACATCGCCAACCTGGTGCCCCCCAGACCCATCAGGAATTCGGGTGTTGGACACCCAGCACCTCAAAACATGGGAACTGTGCTGCCTTTGGAGAACTAACTGTGATTTCAAGAAGATGCTTCTGGGGGCTTCAGACCATGACCAAGTTTATGCTGGGGAATTCTGGGAGATGAAGTCCACCCCTCTTTTAAAGCAAGCTGATTGGGGGATTCTGGGAGTCGAAGTCTGTTCCTCTTAAAGCAGGATGGCTGGGGAATTCTGGGAGTGGAAGTCCACCCCTCTTAAAGAAGGCTGGCTGGGGGATTCTGGGAGTGGAAGTCCACCTCTCTTAAAGCAGGCTGGCTGGGGGATTCTGGGAGTGGAAGCCCACCCCTCTTAAATCATGCTGGATGGAGGATTCTGGAAGTTGAAGTCCACCCATCTTAAAGATGCTGGATGGAGGATTCTGGGAGTTGAAGTCTGTTCCTCTTAAAGCATGCTGGCTGGGGAATTCTGGGAGTGGAAGTCCTCCTGTTTCAAACCATGCTGGCTGGGTAATTATGGGGGTTGAAGTCCACCCATTTTAAAACATAGTGGCTTGGGAATTCTGGGAATTGACATCTATCCCTCTTAAAGCAAGCTGGCTGGGGAATTGTGGGTGTTGAAGTCCTCCTGTCTTAAAACACAGTGGCCGAGGAATTCTGGGAATGGAAGCCCACCTCTCTTAAAGCAGGCTGGTGGGGAATTCTGGGAGTGGAAGCCCACCCCTCTTAAAGCAGACTGGCTGAGGAATTCTGGGAATGGAAGCCCACCCCTCTTAAAGCAGGCTGGCGGGGGAATTCTGGGAGTTGAACTCCACCCCTCTTAAAGCCTGCTGGCTGGGGGATTCTGGGACTGGAAGTCCACCCATGTTAAGGCTGAGAACCCCACCCTACCCCCGTGAGACAGCTGTGTCCTTAGCAAAGTTCAATTCTCACATGTCGAATCCTTTTAAGTGCCCTCCGTCAACAGTTGTGCTGGTGGCACAACTAAATCCCGGCGAGGCTGGGGGAGCTTTGAACATGGGTGCCCCCCCGCCCCCTCCCCACTGCTGTTTCCAGCAAAGACACTTTTCCATCACACCCAAAGTGTGGGCTCTTTGCAAAAGCTGGCTTGGGACACAAACGAAGAGGGGAAAGTGCGCCCGTTTGTGTGTGTGTGTGTGTGTGTGTGTGTGTGTGTGTGTGTGTGTGTGTGTTGAAGGTTCTATTCTTAGGTGCTGACTCCTGGCTGCTATTCTTAGCCCAAAATGCTGCCTCATCGCCCCGGAAAGGGTGCCAGCTCCCAGCCAGAGCCTGCAGCTTGAAGCCCACCCTTCGGCCAGCCAACCCCATGGAGAGGAAATGGTTCCTCTCTCCCTTGGTACCAACGGAAAAAGGGGGGGCAGCGGATGGGACGCCCTGGACCCTCCACATCGAACAGCGAGGACAATGAAGCAGTGGAACAGAAGTTGCCTTCAGAAATCGTGGGTGCTCCATCACTGGAGGGTTTTAAGAAGAGACTGGACAGTCACTTGTCTGAGATGGTGTAGGTTCTCCTGTTTGAGCAGGGGGCTGGACTAGATGACCTCCAAGGTCTCCATTCTATTCTATTCATTATTCTATACTATTCTATTCTATTTTATTCTCTTCTCGTCTATTCTATTCTATTCTATTCTATTCATTATTCTATTCTATTCTATTCATTATTCTATTCTATTCTGTTCTGTTCTATTCTATTCATTATTCTATTCTATTCTATTATTATTCTATTCTATTCATTATTCTATTCTATTTTATTCTCTTCTCATCTATTCTATTCTATTCCTCTTTTAATTCTATTCTATTCTATTCTTATTCTTATTCTATTCTTTCTATTCTATTCTATTCATTATTCTATTCTGTTCTGTTCTATTCTATTCATTATTCTATTCTATTCAATTCTATTCAATTCTATCACTATTCTATTCATTATTCTATTCTATTCATTATTCTATTCTATTCTATTCTATTCTATTCTATTCTATTCTATTCTATTCTATTCTATTCTATTCTATTCTATTCTATTCTATTCTATTCCATTCCATTCCATTCCATTCCTGTTTTAATTCTATTCTATTCCTGTTTTAATTTCTTTAATTTCTATTCCAGTGGTGGCGAACCTATGGCACGGGTGCCAGAGGTGGCACTCAGAGCCCTCTCTGTGGGCACACGTGGCATCGCCCCATTCTGGGAGTGGAAGTCCACCCCTCTTAAAGCAGGCTGGCTGGGGGATTCTGGGAGTGGAAGCCCACCCCTCTTAAAGCATGCTGCCTGGGGGATTCTGGGAATTGAAGTCCACTCCTCTTAAAGCAGTCTGGATGGGGAATTCTGGGAGTGGAAGTCCACCCATCCAAAACCTCCAAGGCAAGGAAACAGCAGCTTCAAGACAGAGCTACACAGTTCAAGGAACTCAGTTCCTTCTTCAACCACTTAGTTGTTCTTTGTGTGTCTGGCCTCCTTTCTTTGCTTGCCTCCTCCTCCTCCTCCTCCTCCTCCTCCTCCTCCTCCTCCTCCTCCTCCTCCTCCTCCTCCTCCTCCTCCTAATGAATAAGGCACCCAACACAGAAAAAAGCTCCCCATCAGACGCAAAAGTGCTTTTTCAAGAGACCGGAGGCATGAATCTCCCTAGCCTTCCAATCAAAGATGTGAAATTAAATCCCCCTCCCCTCACAACTGACCCCAGAAGAAAAACTAGTCCTGGAGGGAGGTTAAACTTTTTCCTTTCGTCCACCTTCCCAAAAGGCTCCCCACCCACCCAACCCAGAGGGTCTCCCCAGAATGCTTTCTAAGTGAGCCCACCGCTGCACCCAGTGTGGTCAAAAAAAGTCAAGATGGCAACCGCCACACGCTAACTAACCAAGGAGAGAGAAGCAACCTTGAACTAAGGAGAAACTTCCTGACAGTTAGAACAATTAACCAGTGGAACAACCTGCCTCCAGAAGCGGTGAATGCTCCAACAGTGGAAGTTTTTAAGAAGAGACTGGACAGCCATTTGTCTCAAATGGTATAGGGTTTCCTGCCTGAGCAGGGGGTTGGACTAGATGACCTCCAAGGTCCCTTCCAACTTTATTACTGTTATTGTTAACATTAAGCCTGAATGAGATAGTCAAGAGAGGGGTCATTAGTTGTCTTTAAAAACAACACAAACACATTATTATTATTATTATGGATCATCGCACAGTCAGCCAGATGTTCAGACTGGATTTGGCATTTTGTCTACCTATCGAGTCCTTACCCAGGACCTGGGATAGGCAGATGTGGATGTTTGATGGTATTACAGATATCGTCTGTAATACCAGGATGGAAGCAGTTCCTAGTAAGGCTGCCTTTTGCAATTGACTAATGGCGAATTTGTCAATGCCAATGGTGTACAAGTGGTGCTCCAGTTGTTTTGGGATTGCACCCAAGGCGCCTATGACTATTGGTACTACCCTTGCTTGCTTTTGCCACAGTCTTTCTATTTCTATTTGTCGGTCTTTGTATTTTGTTATCTTCTCCAGTTCTTTCTCGTCTCTTCTGCTATCTCCAGGCACTGCCACGTCCACTATCCAGACTTTTTTGTCTTTCTTATCGACAATTGTTAAGTCTGGGGTGTTGTTGTTGTTGTTGTTGTTGTTGTTGTTATTATTATTATTATTATTATTATTATTATTATTATTATACTTTCACCAAAGTGCCTTCACCGCCTCCGATTCTAATCGCTGTTTTGTCAAGAGACCCTAAACACAAGTAGTCCCCGACGTAAAATCGTTCCCTTAACAACGGTTTGTATTAAAGATAAGCCCTGAAAAAGTCAGTCCCGAACTCAATTCGAACTCGTGACCGCTGCCCCACCCCCGCCAGTCTACGTGATGGCAATCGAGGGTAAATCCCATTGACAACCAGTTGCAGCGTCCTGAGGTCACCCAATCGCAATTGGTTAGGGTTTTTTGCCCGTTTTGGGCAAAACGAGGGAAAAAAAACAATGCCATTGGTCAAGCTGGATTCGCATTCACAACCCAGGTCAACTCAACTTTCGACCGCAGGACTTGACTTACTGACCACATTGACCCGTGGGAAACTTAGTTGTAAAGTTGGCGTCTGGTCAACTTAAGACGATGATGACTAAAAATCAGAAATTGTGGTCGTACGTTCAGGATGGAAACTAACCAAAGAGAGAAGCAACCTAGAGAACTAAGAAGAAATTTCCTGATAGAACAATTAATCAGCAGAACTCCTTGCCTCCAGAAGCGGTGAATGCTCCAACACTGGAGGTTTTTAACAAGAGACGGGGCAGCCATTTGTCTGACATGGTATGGGGTCTTCTGCCTGAGCAGGGGGTTGGACTAGATGACATCCAAGGTTCCTTCCGAGTCTGTCATTCTGTTAATTCAGTGGTGGCGAACCTATGGCACGGGTGCCAGAGGCGGCACTCAGAGCCCTCTCTGTGGGCACGCACGCCGTCGCCCCAGTCCTAGACCTTCAGCTGGGTTTTATAAAACCTTTTCGCTTTAGGCCTCCGCCGCCATGTGCAAAAAAAAAAAAAGGTTCAATCAATCAGTCAATTTCAACTTCTCGCGGGAAAAAAAAAGATCTTGCAAAGTTGGGTTTGATTGATTGAACTTTTTAGTCCCACCCAGTCTGCTGTTACCACTGTAGCCACGCCCACCCAATGGGCCACACCCACCCGGCACCCGACGATGCATAAGTGGGTTTGGGGTTGCAGTTTGGGCACTCAGTCTCTAAAAGGTTTGCCATCACTGGGTTAATTAACCAGTGGAACTCCTTGCCTCCAGAAGTTGTGAATGCTCCAATACTGGAAGTTTTTAAGAAGAGACTGGACAGCCATTTGTCTGAAATGGTGCAGGGCAGTGGTTCTCAACCTGTGGATCGGGACCCCATTTGGGGTCGAACGACCATTTCACGGGGGTCACCAAACAACGCAGTCCGCCATTTTTTTCCCCTTTTCCTTAGCTGTGCTGCTCCCTTTTATTCTATTGGCTTTTGAAAGCCAATAGAATAGACTCTCTTGAATAGGGTCTAATTCTATTGGCTTTCCAAAGCCAATAGGAATTGTCCAGGCTGTCTCTGCCCTGCTGAGCCCGCCAAAAGTCCCATTCTGCAAACGGGGCTGCACCAGTTGAGTAGTCCTCCACTTACGACCGGTTGAGTAGTCCTTGACTTACGACCGGTTGAGTAGTCCTCGACTTACAACCGGTTGGGGGTCGTGGCATTAAAAAGGTTGAGAACCACTGGTTATAGGGTTTCCTGCCTGAGCAGGGGGTTGGACTAGAAGACCTCCAAGGTCCCTTCCATCATCATCATCATTATCCCTCCCTCCATGCGAAACGTCTGAAGGGTTAGGGTTGTGACATCCCTGGCACCGTCACTTACCATGATGGTTGTGTCTTCGGATGCGCTGGCAATGACGTTGTCGTTGTGGGGACACCAGTCGATGTCCAGCACGGGGGCCGTGTGTCCAGTCACCAGGGGAACGTTCTTGTCCACGCGGCCCACCTGCAAACATACATGGAGAACAGGGTATTTTTAATTAATTTATTTCATTTATATGCCTCTTTCCAAAGGAAGATTCTGGTCCGTGCACCCAGGAAAGATCGGCACGAACTTGGTGGCTCCCCCAGACTTAGTTTGGCCTAGCGGTCAAGGCACCAGGCTAGAAACCAGGAGATGGAGAGTTCTAGTCCTGCCTTAGGCCAACTGGGGTGACTTTGGGCCGATCACCAGGCGACGGTGAGTTCTAGTCCCGCCTTAGGCGTGAAAGCTGGCTGGCTGACTTTGGGTCGATCACTGGGAGACGGTGAGTTCTAGTCCTGCCGTAGGCATGACAGCTGGATGGGAAACTTTGGGCTAATCACCGGGAGACGGTGAGTTCTAGTTCTGCATTAGACATGAAAGCCAGCTGGGTGACTTTGGCCGATCACCAGGCGACGGTGAGTTCTAATCCTGCCTTAGGCATGACAGCTGGATGGGTGACTTTGGGCCAAACACCAGGCGACGGTGAGTTCTAGTCCCACCTTAGGCATGAAAGCCAGCTGGGTGACTTTGGGCCAATCACCAGGAGGCTGTGAGTTCATCCCGCCTTAGGCATGAAAGCCGGCTGGGTGACTTTTGGGCCAATCACCAGGCAACGGCGAGTTCTAATCCTGCCTTAGGCATGACAGCTGGATGGGTGACTTTGGCCAATCACCAGGCGACGGTGAGTTCTAGTCCCGCCTTAGGCATGAAAGTCAGCTGGATAACTCTGGGCCAATCACCAGGCGATGGTGAGTTCTAGTCCCGCCTTAGGCATGAAAGCCGGCTGTGTGACTTTGGGCCGATCACCAGGCGACGGCGAGTTCTAGTCCCGCCTTAGGCATGAAAGCCAGCTGGGTGACTTTGGGCCAATCACCGGGCGACGGCGAGTTCTAATCCTGCCTTAGGCATGACAGCTGGATGAGTGACTTTGGCCAATCACCAGGCGATGGTGAGTTCTAGTCCCGCCTTAGGCATGAAAGCCGGCTGGGTGACTTTGGGCTGATCACCAGGCGACGGCGAGTTCTAGTCCTGCCTTAGGCATGAAAGCCGGCTGGGTGACCTTGTGCTAGTCCCTCCCTCTCAGCCCGGCCCATCTCACAGGGTTGTCGTTGTGTGGAAAAGAGGAGTAGGACTGTGTGTTGGACACGTTTGTCGCTCGAGTCACTTGTCAGAATAACGGCAGGATTCCAATCAATACAGTAAAGAAATAAGCCGAGAGGGTCTCCCCCTGGGGGGGGGGTCTATTAGGAGCCTCCTGACTTTGTGGTCCCGACAAGGTGCGTTACACAACTCGTCCTTTCCACCAAGGACAAAGAAAACAGAGCGATTATTCCTCGTGACGTAGCCCAAAATCATCGGGGACAATTTTGGCAGCCCCGTCACGCTCTTGCAAACTGCACTTCCCGCACTCCGACTCCCAGGTGCGCCTGGCAGAACAAGAACATCCTGAACCCCTCCTGGGCATCCGAGCGCGGGCTCCCCTCCGAAGGGGGGGATTGTTCGGGAAGGCCGGGCGACTTTGAGAGGGCGGGTCTCGGGCCCCTTCTCCCTCCCCCCCGTGGCTTTTCATTTTTTGTCCCTCTGGTGTTGAGGGGTTGCCCTCCCCCAGCCTCACGCAGGCTTTAGTTGTTGGTGGAGAGGAAGAGAGGAAGGGAAGGAGAAGGAGCGGAGGAAGGGAGATAACAAGAGAAAGAAAGGGAAGGAAAGAAGGGAAGGAAAAGGAAGGGAAGGAAGAGAAAGGAAGGGAAGGAAAAGAAGGGAAGGGAAGGGAAGAGAAGGGGAGGGGGGGAGGGGAGGAAAGGAAAGGGAAGGGAAGGAGTGAAGAGAAGGGAACGGAAGGGAAGGGAAGGCAAGGAAAGGAGGGAAGAGAAGGGAAGGGAAGGAAAAGAAGGGAACGGAAGGGAAGGGAAGGGAAGGAAAAGAAGGGAAGGGAAGGGAAGAGAAGGGGAGGGGAGGGGAGGAGAGGAAAGGAAAGGGAAGGGAAGGAGTGAAGAGAAGGGAAGGTAAGGCAAGGCAAGGCAAGGCAAGGAAAGGCAAGGAAAGGAGGGAAGAGAAGGGAAGGAAAAGAAGGGAAGGGAAGGGAAGGAAAGGAAAGGAGGGAAGAGAAGGGAAGGGAAGGGAAGGAAAAGAAGGGAAGGGAAGGGAAGAGAAGGGGAGGGGGGAGGGGAGGAAAGGAAAGGGAAGGGAAGGAGTGAAGAGAAGGGAACGGAAGGGAAGGTAAGGCAAGGCAAGGCAAGGAAAGGAAAGGAAAGGAAAGGAGGGAAGAGAAGGGAAGGAAAAGAAGGGAAGGGAAGGGAAGGAAAGGAGGGAAGAGAAGGGAAGGGAAGGGAAGGAAAAGAAGGGAAGGGAAGGAGTGAAGAGAAGGGAAGGTAAGGCAAGGCAAGGCAAGGAAAGGAAAGGAAAGGAAAGGAGGGAAGAGAAGGGAAGGAAAAGAAGGGAAGGGAAGGGAAGGAAAGGAAAGGAAAGGAGGGAAGAGAAGGGAAGGGAAGGGAAGAGAAAGGGAGGGGAGGAGAGGGAAGGGAAGGAAACGAAAAGGAAGGAAAGGAAAGGGAAGGGAAAGGGAAGGGAAGGGAAGAGGGAGGGAAGGAGGGAGGAGGATAAATGGGGAAGGAGAAGAAGAAAGAAAAGGAGAAGGAGGAACAGAAATGATGGGGAGGAGGGCTGTGGGGTCCTTGGTGCTCTCTGATCTTGGATGTTTTCTTGCAGACGTCTCATGACCCAACTAGGGAACATCATCAGTGCTAGAAGGGAGTGGGGTTTGCTGAGGGGAGGAGGAGGAGGAGGAGGAGGAGGAGGAGGAGGAAGGATCAAGGAGAAGAGAAAGTAGGGAAGCCATGAGGGCTGGGAGATTGTCGGGGGGATCAATGCAGCCCCTACCCTAGATCTACGGTGGCAGAGTTCTCCTCCAGGCGCCCTGACCTTGAGCGAGCTCCCTCGCCTGCCGCCCCCCCCCCCAGGGAAATATGAGCTGTGGAAAAAATGCCCCCCCCCTTCAGCCTCCTCCCTTCGTTTTAATTGTTCCCAAAGTGAGTCACTTATTATTGTGACTCAGCCGGACAACTGCTCCAGTCCATCTCACACAGGCTGGCCAGTCCAGGGCAGGAAGGGGGGATTGGGGGGGGGGGAGAGAAGGGGACACTTAGAGGTCAGCTGTCTGAAGAGGGAAGAGGAAAGAGGACAGTGGCGAGGGTGCAAAACATTCACAAGCAGCAAAGGCCGGGCTGAAGTGCACGGAAAAAGACTTTGGGAGGAGGAAAAAGTCCAGAGAAGAGCAACTAAGAGGATCCAAGGCCTGGAGACTTAAAACGTACGAAAAACGGCTGTGGGACTTGGGTTTGGCTAGTCTAAAGAAAAGAAGAAAGAGGGGAGACAGGATAGCGGTATTCTGGTATTCGGGGGGGGGGCTGCCACAAAGAAGAGGGGGTCAAATTATTCTCCAAAGCACCAGAGGGCAGGATGAGAAACAATGGTTGGAAACTGATCAAGGAGAGAAGCAACCTGGAATTAAGGAGAAACTTCCTGACAGTGAGGACAATGAACCAGTGGAACAGCTTGCCACTAGAAGTTGGGGGCGCTCCATCACTGGAGGTTTTTAAGAAGAGACTGGACAGCCACTAGTCTGAGATGGTATAGGTTCTCCTGCTAGAGCAAGGGGCTGGACTAGAAGACCTCCAAGGTCCCTTCCAGCTCTATTCCGTTCTACCTTAGGGGTGAACCTGACAGCAATCTTCCAATATTTGAGGGGCTGCCCCAAAGAAAAGGGAGTCAAGCTATTCTCCAAAGCGCCTGAAGGCAGGACAAGAAGCAACGGAGGGAAACTAATCAAGGAGAGAAGCAACCTAGAACTAAGGAGAAACTTCCTAACAGGGAGGACAATTAACCAGTAGAACAGTTTGCCACCAGACGTTGTGGGTGGTCCATCACTGGTAAGGTTTTTAAGAAGAGACTGGACAGCCCCTTGTCTGAAATGATCTAGGGCGGAGGTAGGCAACCTTGGCTCTTTTATGACTTGTGGATTTCAACTCCCAGAATTCCTCAGCCAGCATGGGGGAACTATGGCCCCTTCATGACTTAAGGACTTCAACTCCCAGAATTCCTGAGCCAACATAGGGGAACTATGGCCCCCTTCATGACTGGTGGACTTCAATTCCCAGAATTCCTGAGCCAGCATGGGGGAACTATGGCCCCTTCATGACTGGTGGACTTCAATTCCCAGAATTCCTGAGCCAGCATGGGGGAACTGTGGCCCCCTTCATGACTCGTGGACTTCAACTCCCAGAATTCCTGAGCCAGTATGGCTCAGCTTGGAAGCCTCTCCCTTTCCCCTCAGGAATTCTGGGAGTTGACGTCCACGAGTCATAAAAGAGCCAAGGTTGCCTACCCCTGGTAGGGTCTCCTGCCTGAACAGGGGGTTGGACTAGATGACCTCCGAGGTCCCTTCCAGCTCCATTCTGATTGATTGGCTCTCTTGCTTCCTTTGGGGTTCAAGATATTTTGCCAAACACCGTTTTTTTTTTCCTCCTGCAGGTTCATCCAGGCCACCTGGAAATTGTCCTTAGATGCAGGATGTGTGGGCAGCGATAGTCCAATGGGGCATGTCCATCTTTTTGCCGGAGAGGCGAGCAATTCGTCACGCCTCCCCAACTCGGTGTCCTGCCTCGGCTGTCTGGAGGGATGTCGTGCGCATCGTGGTGTCATGGCAGAAACGATGTGAAATGGGTGGTTGAACAAAGGGAGGAAATAGCAGGGTGTCCTTCAGGGGGTTTGACATTGTCAGGTCTTGTGGTTCTCTGTTTGGCCGGCTTTTTTTTTGATTTAATGTCCTGGCCGTGTCATACTTTGCCTGGTGGGAGTTCTTGGTGCTCTCTGAGCTGGGTGGTCTTCTTGCAGGCCTTTCACGACCCAGCTAGGAAACATCATCAGGGTTAGAAGAGAGGAGGAGGAGGAGGAGGAGGAAGAAGAAGAAGACTGTGGGGTCGTTGATGCTCTCTGAGCTGGGTGGTCTT